GGCCTTGGTTGAAGGTGCGTAAAAAGTAAAAAATATAACTCAGTACTCACTGCAGTGAGTGACAGAGAGCGCATTTTCTCATCCTCAAAAACAGACTGACGGACGGACGGACAGACAGGTATGGCGAGCACAATAGTGCATTTTTTTCATTAATGAGAAAATGCGCTAAAAATAAAAAATTTTCTCACGGTTTTTTCTATCGACATTTTTTTTGTCGATAATCAAAAGAAATTCTCAACAGTTCAACAGGAAATTCCGCTGAATGTATTCACAGCAATTCGCATCCAGCTGAATCAAAAACTATCTAACAAAAAAAAAATTAAAATGTGTTGTATAAAATTTAAATTTATTTGATGGACTTTAACTGACTGAGAGATGATAACTTTTAGAGTAACGATTATTTCATTTACAAATGGGGATGGTGGGAATGAAAATATATTGTCAATAATTAATCCACATGTTAATAGGCAACTTCCATTTGACAACAATTTCACTTTTATTTTTGGATCACAAATACCTAGAATCAATTTATTAAATTCGGGAATTATTTCTTAGAATGATGCATGATCATCACATCATTTCTGTTTGACGTCATCGAGTTCAAGTTTTCCAATATCCAACAACAAAATTCAAAATATCAACGAAATGAAAAATATCAATGTCAACTATTTAATTCAAATATCAGCTTGAGAAATTGAAACATATGAATATCTCTTGAATAAAGCGATATTCAAATATCTCTTTAACTTCACTTCTTGTTGTTTGTTTGTATGTCTATCCGCTACAAATCTTGTAATCGATATTTAACACACTTCTACCTTTCCCAACGATCTGAAACTTAATTTTGCACACTTGCGTAAAGTTGGAAACAATGCATGAATCAATTGGCAGAATATATAATTTTAGAAATATTAAAAAAATTTAATTAAAAAAATGATAAATAATTTTATCTTCTACAAATATTGTAATCGGTAATCAACACACTTTTACCTGTCCAATCAATTTGAAAATTTCTACACTTGCGTAAAGTCGGAGGCAATGCATGAATTAATTGACAGAATAAATAACTTTGAAAATTTAATTTGTTTTAAATTTTAAAAATAAATATAAAAATAAATTAATTTTTGTAATATTTGATGATAAAATTAGAAATTCATTGTACATGTGTAACATCGGATACACTGAATTTTTTAGAAGTGTTGTCTTTAAAAAGTAATTTTTGGAGTAATTCATAGTGATTTTTTATTTTAAAATCTGATTACAGCATTGTGCCATAAGGTGTATTTCTAGAATGAGCCTAGAGCAAAGTTTTAAACTGCTTCTTCGAGTACCGCGTGTTAATGGCCACCGAAAATTCCCAAAATTGTGAATTTTTTTGGCAAGTTCTCTCCTTTCGAATTTTTTGACAAATCATAACAAATTGAGAGTGTACGGTATACAGCAAATATGAACAACTGAAATTAAAGAATGCGAGATTGACAAATAGGCTTAATTTTGAGCGAGCATCCGCCTACACTTCTCTGAAAATATGTCGCATATGCGGCCGCCCGCGCGCCATTTGTATTTATTTCAGTGAAGTATTTTCATAACAAATTCCACGGCATATCATAACAAAATTCCTGCGGCCTTCCCGTGTTAATAAAATATCTGCAGTCCGGAAAAATATTGGGACTCATAAGCCCTGGCATTTCGTTGGAGGAATTCAATGCTCACCGTATGCTCAGTGAAATAAATACGGTTTTAGAAAAATAGCGATGCACAATTTGCATACGTGTGGGATATTTTGACCCAGTTTGCCTGGTAATAACGTATCAGTGCTACGTGCAAAGTGTTTTCCTTTTTAGATATAGTGACCCAACTATTTTTTTGAGTGTATACTTGCCAGCAAACAAACAAACGTATTTCACTATGTCTGAAATTGCGGTGGTTTACACAGTAATGTTGAATATACATTGTGTTAATATGTTTTAAAATTTTGATAGATATTAATGTGTGAAGTACATGTTTGATATGAGCGAATTCACATGACGTTTAGTTCACTACGCTATATCATAAGAATGTTCAATTTATCCAATAATATCAAATACATTCTATTTAAAATGTTTCCAAGTTCTGAGCAATATTTGAAGCATATATGTAGTTTCCAAGTTCTGAGAAGTGAATCTTACAAGTGAATCATACAAGTGAATTCGATACAATTGAATCTGCAGGTCGTTCTCACGAGCAATACACGACCGTTGCAGAGACGAGATATCAAAGCGATGTCCGACTGACCAAGAAAGGTCAGCCTCCACCTTGAAACGGACCGCGTCTCTGACGCTCGAAAGGTCAGAGACAAGTTGAACCTTGCGCCCACGAGAATTCAGTTAAATTAAATGCTAGCAAACTGAGCCCCTGTTATAGTGTCTCTGTTGATATTGTATCGTTAATGTTAACGTCCATACGGCGGAGAGCGAAATGTTATGCAGGTTATTGTATCTTTCTTAAGTTATTGAAAGACATGAGGTAGGTCCCAGAGAAAAATGGAAATGTTGAGGAGTATGAAAAAATTTTGAAATTCAAGAAATTTCAAAACGTCCTACTTCTTGTTAGCAAAGCAAAATAAGATTTTCGAAATTGATTCTGACATCTAATTGTAACTTAGAAAATGCAAAGCTTTTGATTTACGAATTGCCAGAAACAAGAAAAATACCAATAAGTGTTAACAGATGTATATATTACATATTACATTCATTGATGAAAGTATAAATGAATGATGCCTTACAGTTTGATGTCTTGCAATATTTCGAATTATAATGGGAGCGTCATAATGATAATACTGCAACTTCAGATAAATTTTCGATTATATTCAAGGAAATAAGAGACACATCGGCAAAATTGGTTCGAAATTATGTATCATTTTATAATTTAACATTTCATTCACAGTAGACAAGCAAACCTAGGGTCTAAGTTCCGTCCATTCGATCTCTACTAAAACTGGGTTTCTAATAATATATTGGAGTGACTGAGACACAATAAAAAAGTTATAGTTATTAAATAAAATTAGTATTTAAAAAGCGAATCCTTACTAAAGTTAATCTGAAACGGGAAAATATGTACTTTAAGAAGAGTATATAGCTTGTCGCACTCGGAAAGCTATTGAAACTCCATTAATAAACTAAATGCGAGTTTTGCAGTTAATACTAATAACTAATACAACTAATAACTACAACATTAATACAACTAATAAAATGTGAGTTTTGCAGAAATATTAGTCGAACTTAGGACTATGTTCTCCATATTTCCAAGAAAACCGTTTTGCGCGTGTTGAGAAATGCCTCGAAAAGTCAGGAGTCTGACTAGATGGTCCCTTTGTGCCGTCACAGTTATTTGCAATTTAGGGAAGAATAGCATTACAAATATGAAACGAATTTTCATTCGGTCGGTAAAAATATTAAATATTATGTAGACTATCACAGTGAATTATGCTCAAAGTTTGATCGAAATTTCAGTAAATTCCAATCGAAATTGAATCGTTATGGATCGGAGTTCATTATTTTGGAAACCGAATTCATTTATTTTTTATTATCTTTGCATTGTATTTAGTCTGCGTCCGAATTATTCCTCAACAATTATTGGGGTGATGATGCAAATAATTCAAGTGTACTTTGAATTGTACGTGTGCTAATGCATGAAAGAAAACTTATTCAGAGAAATATTCCCCACCTCTGATGGTAAATCCCAATTTCTGCCAATCATAAGTTTATATTCGTAAAAAATCGCAGTGGCACTACACAGCATTGATTTTTCGTTTCAAATATCATGTACGTTTAGATACACGAGTGCAATTTGATATCTTACATAAAGGAGCGATGGGTAAATAGAAAGTGATGTGTAGAGTTAACTGATCACGAATTGAGAATAAGATGGAATAACGATGAAACTGTTTAAGGACCGTTAATTTTGAATATTTAGAATACAACGCGATTCGTAATAACAGGATCTGATTGGAACAATGAATAATGATTACAATAAATAATAAATGATATGATTAAGAACAATTAATAACGTGATTTTCAAATCATGGTCAATATATGTCCTGAACACGTTGGGTGAAACTGAAAATTTTGAAATGAAATGAAATTTTTGCGTTAAATGATAGCGTTAAATAACTACTATTAAAAGGCACTATAATAATTCATATAAACAAAATTGTAGCATATTAAAGATTCCTTCTAAGGTAATAAACTTGGTCCATCTGACGGTAACAAATGATCTGTAAAACATGATTTAGGATGGCTATCAAATTTCAATTTTCAGCTCACCCACTTACCGTTTTCCAGATAATAGGAGTAAACGAGGCAGCGATTTAACGGCCTAAATTTGCCTCCATAATCCGGCATTTACCGGTTTATCAATGAAATTGCTAGGATTGTCATGATATTTTTAGGCCGTGGAAAATTTATGCTCGTGCTTGCATCGAGATTCCTGAATGTCGCTCATTAGCGATGCAGGCTATAAATAAGGCCATGAGATCAGGCCGCCTACGCTTCCTTCAGCCGGCCTCAAATTGGCTCATGGCCAAAATTTGCCTTAATTCAGAAACGTCTGGAAAATTCCAGAAACGAATAATGGGAGTTTCATCCGCGGCCTCCATTAATTCGTCGGTTAGTCTCAAGTTTTTTTTTTTCATTTGATATTACAGACAATGATGATAAAGAGGTCATTAATAAAGCAATTGCAAAACATTTCTTACAAGCATGTCTGATTAAACCCCTTGTAATGCATGTGGGTGACAGTGCACAGCCACATCAGAGTGGAAAGAATTCTTTAATTTCTTTAATGTTAGACTAGCATTTAATGACTTTAGGTCGGGGTGCTGGGGTGAAAAATCCCTATTGCAAACTAGGATGATTATCTATGAGGGTTGGCGTTACTTTGTACGAAGAAAAAAGTGAAAATATATTAGTTGTTGATTGTAATTGTTCGCCATGAATGATTAAGTGATAAAAAAAACCAGATTGGAAAGTTGTCGTTTATATATAGTCACATTTCGAGCAAAGAATATTGTGAAATGTATAATAAAAATTCCATGGACACTTGGTAGAAACTATGTACATAAAAATGTTTATAGATGCTATCAGATACATAACTCTTCACATTATGACCAATTGAACGATAGAAAAAATCTAATAGTCAACAGAAATAAATCTCTTCGGTATATGCAAAACAACAACTCAAATAATAAGCAGAACTTAACTGAATTAAAATCAAATTTTGTAGTACATGTCACAGTATTGTTTCAATTTGCTAGAAACGCAATAGAGTATCGGATACGAAAATCAAACAGGGAAAATCTTACGCAACGAAAGAGTCTCGGTAATATAATTTATAAGAAAATCTGCCTTTTCACTAGAAATATGCAGGTTGATAAATTTTTTATAAGTGATGCGCATATTACGGTGGAAAATTGATGCCATGCGGCATGACGAAATCGAATATTAAACTGAAAAATCTGATATCAACGAAATAAATGCCCACAAAATATCAAGTTCTAAAATTAATTAGAGATGAATATCGTGCGTGTAAGGAAGATGCGCATGCTTGAGCTTTTTTTCAGACATACGATATAATGAAACGAAAACTGGAAAAAAATCAGGACAAAATCAAATATTTCATATACAAATAACTTGAGCTCCTTCACGTTTGCACTATTGTTAAAGAATTGCAGCAATGAGTAACTTATGCTCACACCATAGGACAACACAAGATGGACAAATTAAAATACCTCCACTTTTTAAAATAAAAATACATTTTTGATTGCATTAAAGCGTCTGCCCAACTATACCAAAATGAAAGAGCACGAACTGATGCGATATATACTGGAGTTGAAAACGTGGCTTTAAGGGAGAACTGCTATTAATAAAGATAGATTTCATGCTAGGAATCAGCGTCTCTAGAATGAGAAAGATCTGAAAATCGAAATATTTTTCGGGATTTTTTAAATTGTACACTGGTTGCTAATTATTTTTTATTGTTAAGGTATAAAAAATAGGGAAAGTAAGCAGTTCTGCTATTTAATTCCGGCATGCTGATAGTTACGGTCAGAATTTCCACAGGAAAATTGGAGAGCATATATACGAGTTGATTTGTTGTGGTCTATTAGCCTTTATAATAATAAATAATACAACTAAATTTGCAGCGCTCTGCATGAAAAAAGGTGATTGAAGGTGTTAAACGAGAATAAACTATATAAAGGCTACAAATAATCACGAATATTTAAAAAATAATATATAAATATGGCAAATTTTACCTCAAATACGTTGGTTATTCTGATGTGCCTCAGGAGTATGGCCAAGACTTATAAATATAATTGAAAACAATATCCCCTGCGACAATTATAACAAAACATTGATAAATTTTTACAGTGTTTCCACAGAACCGAACAAAAAAAATGGCGGAAAGCATTGAGAATTTACAAATGCATCATTATATAAATATCGATAGAATCGGAGTAATGCCATTAATATTACAGCTCAAGTTAAAGCAGTTAGAATATTTTACATTCGCCGGGAACTTGAAACTTTCACTGAAACAAATTACAGGGATCCGGCTACCAAATGATAGCAGCGAGAAACTTCCACGAGTCCAAGCACTCCAGGAATACGTGTTTATAACTGAGAACAATATTCTCGTAGACCATTATATGTAATCCTGCTCAATATTCGCCCGTACGATGACAGACCATAAGCATTTTACAAGCTTGAAGCTTCTTATTTACAATTTAAGCTCCTCAAATTGAGTGCCTGAGCTCGGGAATTGCATGACACTCTTAGGCCCGTGATAGTATCTCGAAGTATTCTGCAGTATTTAGAAAGATACTTCTTAGCAATACTTGTGATGGTTATATTAATATTTTCATGTTATATGATGCAATTTTTTCGGGTTACATAGACAGGTCAATATAACATTTGCGTGGGGTACATAGTCATGTCAAAACAATATTTTTGAGGATTAAATTAATACTACTGTCCAATATTTGCCGGAGGTTCGATCAATACTTAGTTTGAAAAGTTCAAATGATCTATCTAAATAATATTTGAGATAGTTATACCATATCCTTAAGCCAATATTCTATGTATATTCTAACTATCGTTGATACTTCCAATTAATAATTCCGTGAGTTTTAATAATACTTCTATACAATATTTAGAGAGTCAAATTAATACTTCAAGGTAAAATTTGAGAAAGTTATGTCAATACCTAGAGAAAATAATCATTGAGAGTAATCTTGACACATCCAATCAATTATTATGGGAGTTCTATTATTACAGTCAGCAGGCTTCACCAAGCGCCACCTGACTATTTACAATATTTTCAAACAATTTTGAAGAGAGTTACATAAATTATTTCCGACAATATTAGTGAAAATTTATTAATATCTCCAAAATAGGTATACGAACTTGCATAATTACCATCTGGCGAAATTTGGAATAGGGACGTTGATAATTCCAGACAATATTTGCAATATTTTTAATAATAATCCTAAGCAATAAAGTTGAAATAACCAATATACAAGCTCCCATGGAAAATAGTAAAAATATTATACAATGATACGACGATCTAACTCTTATTATTAGCAATAAGGGTAAGGCCCCAGAAAAATGCTCTGCTTTTTACATGCGTACTTGAGTTTTTTTAATATTAGTTTCTTTCCGCAACTGCGAAGTAATAATTTTAGTTTTGGAGCCGTTAAAATTAAATTTCAAATGAAAAGTCATGTTCAATCAAACGCCGGGCGTTAAAAATTAAACAGAAAATTAATTTAGAGTTGAAGAGAGCTCAAGAATACAGATCCGTGAATAAGATTTTTAACGGATGTGTTAATTAAAAAGTTATGGCCATTAAATGCAAGACTTTCAAAATTGGGACTTTTTTAAAATCTGCGATATGGTCTATCTTTCATTTACTTCATTTTATAGTTTCATTTGTATAAAGTGGATAAAAAATCTGTACTAGCATTAATACTTATTACAAGCAAGCAACCACGGAAAAGTCAAGAGTGAATGATATAATACCAGAAAATGTCTAAGATTTTTTTCAGAATCCAACGCGTACTTTCAGAAATTCCAATCAATTTATTAGCATTGAAATAATATTCAACTAAATATTTTTCCCGCTATGGTCTTGCGAAGATCTTCATAAACGGTGATCGGATTGCTCAACCATTTAATATCTTTGATAGTAAACGCTAATATGAGCATCAATACAATATCAATCAATACTCATCACAATTAATATAATAATAAATATACAAATTTTAGACTCTGGTTTCGTGGGAAGACTGTCGCTGGAGGGAGGCTGGCTTGTTGGCTATTGTGGGACCGAACGCGCTACTGCGGCCCTGGAGACGCCGCAGCACGGGGGGAACATTCGCTGCACTGTTCAGGGAGGTGTTCTGTGTGGGCAAACATAATATATTAGTGTTCAGGGAGGTGTTCTGTGAGGGCAAACATAAATATATTAGTTTTCAGGGAAGTGTTCTGTGTGGACAAACAGGAATAATATATTAGTGTTCAGGGAGGTGTTCTGTGTGGGTAAACACGAATAATATATTAGTGTTCAGGGAGGTGTTTTGTGTGGGCAAACACGAATCTTATATTAGTGTTCAGGGAGGTGTTCTGTGTGGGCAAACAAGAATCTTATATTAGTGTTCAGGGAGGTGTTCTGTGTGGGCAAACATAATATATTAGTGTTCAGGGAGGTGTTCTGTGTGGGCAAAACGAATAATATATTAGTGTTCAGGGAGGTGTTTTTTATGGGCAAACACAAATATTATATAAGTGTTCACGAAATTGTTCTGTATGAAAAAACATGAAATTATAGTAGTGTTCAGGGAGGTGTTTTGTGTGGGCAAACACGAAAAATATATTTATGTTCTATGATGTGTTCTGTGCTGGCAAACTATAATATTATAAGTGTTTATGGAAGGATGCAAACACCATAAATAATCTACCAGTGTTTTTAATGGTTTTCGCTGAACGTTAAAAAATATTGTGGCAGTGTTCAGGAATTGGTTCTGTTCACGAAAAAATAACAATCATTTTATCAGCGTCAAACAGGTTGTTCAAAATCGCGATAAAACACTAAAATGTTTTAGAAAAAGAAAATATTTCAATGAAAATCGGAGTTCACGCGCTTGTCTTCTGCGACTACGACAGAATTGGTACAGGACGATTGAGTAACCTCTGTCACCGGATCAATTGGTCCGTGTTCGAATTTCTATGTAATATTATGAATAGAATTGAATAGAAGTGTCGGCGTTGAAGACATAGGCCCATGGCCTGTTGGTCGGCTTTACTGGCTACTACTGTGGACTCAACTCTGTCATCAACAGTAAAGCAGTATATATGAAGGGTTGATTAGTTTTGGTCTGTTATTATATCGTATTTGTCGAATCGAATATAAATCGAAGATATAATTTAGTATTTTAGAACGGTTAATATTTATGCTCACTCTGAAAATGATGTCTCTGCATCCAATTATGTTCTCTAGGATATAGTTTTGCTAACTACGTGTCTGAAAAACGTTATTTAGGAGAACATGAGGAGTTCAAGCGTGTGTTAAAACACCACTTTAAGGTACAGTTATTCAGCGTTAATATCAAAAGTTTCATTTGCAGTTATTTGTCTAGATAAATAAGGAAGGAAACCTGCACTTTTACTATCACATCAAGCGAGCGATCGGCTGTGCTGTTTTCAATGAAATCCGAACAAGAGCTTTTAGCTTTCAATTAAATTCGAAATGGGTGAAGGAATGTGTGCAGCTAACAATAAAGAATACAGAAGGGAAAGGTCCAAGCTACCTGTTAAGGTAATGAACACAATGAGTCATTAATCGAATTGGCCGAATTAGAGCATCAGGGTTCTAATGAGACGGAGATGGACTCGCCGAACCCGACACCGTTTGCCCCGCTTTCTGCCTCATTAGCGGTGGTTTTTTATTGGTCCATCATTATTGATTAGAACTTAATTAGGAAAAATTATGCTATATGGAATCAAGACCACTTATGCAAGCTAATATTTATTTTTAACTGCATCGATCAAAAACAATTATTATCACTACAAACACCAAACTCAGCTATAAGGTTATTGAATATTTTAATATAACCCGTTTTAATTAAAAAAAGAAAGCCGCTAGGCCTTAAGCTATGGAGCCTACAGAAAGAATATTATGAAGCTTCCGAACGCTAACCTCTGAACAATGAACAGTCGGAAAGCTAATGAGAAGCATCAAAACACTAACGATCAGTTGAATAAATAATTAAAAACTTCCAAACACTAATGAACCGTCGGTATGATAACTAGGAAGCTTCCGGACACTACCTGATCGACAAAGACTATCGGATGCTAAGCTAATGAGCGTACGGAAACAATACTAAAAAATTGCTTCACACCCGTTACCTAGTTTTGATAATTGGGTGAAGCGTTGGCTGTTGGGAAAATAGAAATAAGCTAATTATTTTGTAAGAGAAAACGATCAAATCATTACCATGTCAAAACGGAGATAATATTATTTATTCATTTCAACATTTTCATCGCCATTCATTTCTACATCATCTTCATTCAATTTCCTGAAATTTTAGTTATACCTGAATACATCTTTACTAGGTGAATATCAATAGCTTTAGACAATTCCATATACATGAAAGCCTTTTTAAAAAAATTTTTAAATGCCACGTAGTAATATTTGAAATGCGGCTTTGAAAATCTTAGAGAGCCCACTATTACCACGGTTTTCTTGACTTCGTTTCGTGTCTGTCTGTCATCAAAAATTCAGACCTTAATTTAGAGCTCTTCTGAACATCTTAGAAACTTTAAATTTGGCATGCATGCTTATGCTGCCTAACAATTCAAGATTTGATCATCAGAAATGATGATTTAAAAATTTTTTTTCTATTCGTTGTCGATGAACAATCCATTTTGATCCGAAAAATTTGTTTCATTCGGGCCTCTTGCTGGCTTTATAAAGACAGGCATTGTAATATTTCCGCTTTAAGTTGTACTCGAGAGTGCAAGTAAAGTAGAACTCACCGATGCGATCGATGCATTTTTTGGCCTTTTTTGTTCTCGGATTTGGCCGATTTTAGGCAACCTGAATTATGTACCACTACGTCCTGGAGAAATACATTTCGTGGTACGCATGTGTACCAATACGTAGTCAACGTGTTAAATGCTACGTCCCAACGATAGCAACTTTAAAGATCTTAGATATCCCACTATTTTCTATTCGTTGTCGATAAACAATCCAATTTGATCCTAACAATTTTACTTCATACAATACATTCAATACAATAAAATTTACTTCATACAATTTTATTTCATTCATTGAATTGATTTCATTGATCCTAACAATTGATTTTATTCGGGCCCCTTGCTGGCTTTATAAAGACAGGCATTGTAATATTTCTGCTTTAAGTTGTACTCGAGAGCGCAAGTAAAGTAGAACTCACCGATGCGATCGATGCAGCGTCGGCTTCGAAAATAGATTTAGTTTTCTTCACGTTCGAGTTATCTCGTTCGGTGCTGCAAATAAGGAGGAATAAATAATTCATTTAAAGCCTTAGTGAAGCTTGAAGCCAATTGAGTTAAATGCGAAGACAGAACAAAAATTAACGAGCCATCTAAGCTAAATATTTTACAATAAATACACTTTTACGATGTAATTGAGGAACTATGGAAGGTCGAACTCCAAAGCTCATTTTTGGTACTTGATTAAAATTATAATGTTTTACTTTCCTGATAGGAAGTTAGCAGAATATCACGAATAATTTTTTTGTGATAATGATACGATACACAAATAAGAAGGGAATTAATTTACTTTTATTGAGAACTAATGAATTTAACGATATTATTTCGATAACAATGGGAGATTTACGAGTTTTATTATTACTCAAAAATGATTCATTATGAATCAGCCTTCATAGACCGAATGACATTCGAAATTTTTATTCATCTTCGCGATGCATTTTATAAATGAAAATTTAATGAGCTATTCAGTGGTTAATGAATTTATTTAATTTATTAAAATACGATTTCAATGATATAAATAATCGAAATCATATTTTATTGTTTTTTAAAAATGTTCTGTTTAGTCTTTGAATGGCGAAAGAGTCTCTATTTTGAAATTCTTCCAGAGTTTTCAAAAAGAAAATTTTCACTGAAAATATTTTAAATGCTCTTTTCACTTATTATGTAACAACGCGTGACACTTGCGAATTAGTCTTCACTTAATTATTTGATTTCATTGTAATTTTTTTCTTTTTTTTTACAATATGAAATATAATGATATAAAATATAAGAAATGCTACATAAAAAAGATCATCCGCGATTGGCAAAAGTATTTACAAGTAAATTATTACGAAATTAAACAGTTTATGATAGTTTTTACAGCGTTATCAAGAGTGACTTGTTTCACAGGGCAGCCGAAAATACGAGTTCAATAACATTATTGCAAAAAATGCACACATTATAAAAATTGAGATTAGAGACAGCTTCATGCCGACTTTCTAGTCTCTTGAAGTCATATTAGAAAATTTAAAAGAATTTAGCGGAAAAAATGTTGCAATGAATCGGAAAATTGTTGCATTTATTTAAAGCTGCACTTTGAGTGCTCTCGATCAATCACCGTTCATATTGAAGCTACGTTTCATCATACTCACTTAAATTCAAAATTTAGACCAGTATGACAATTATAAATTGGACGTGGAATACTAAGAATGTTGTAAATATTTAGGTTGTCACGTTGAGTACAAAATTGCAGGCATGGAAAATTTCCTTATTCACGTATAAGAGGGAAAGATTATTCATATCCTGGAGAAAACTATTTGTACAAATCCCTGAAAAAAAAAATTATTTAAAATATTTGTACAAATCCCTGAAAAAACAACCTTGAAATTGCTACCTTCTGAGGAAAACTTTTTATATATCTTTAATATTTTACCGATGCACGATCGATTTCATTTTATTCCCGAGAATCGCTTGAGCTCACCTTTGAGATCTGGAGGGCGGCGCTTTCCCTTTAAATAACGTCTTGATTTTAGACGTCATTGAATCTTTTTCCACGTCTGATGGAATATCTTTACCGGAGCTTCCGACTCCCGACAGCATCGCAGCCTGCATTGGGTTTTTTAGAGGTTTAATTCATGCCAAAATAAGTATTACATGAGAACAAATACGTGTCGAAATAAGTATTACATGAGAACAAATACGTGTAGAAATAAGTATTACATGAGAACAAATACGTGTCGAAAAATGTATTACATGAGAACATTGAGCTGCGGACATTATAGAACGGGAAATTGAATGTGCGGACGTCATAACCTTTCGGAAAAATATGTAAGTAAATACATTTTAATTTAATAGTGACTGGAATATACAAGATTCGAAATGTTGAAGTTTAACTCTTAGATCAAAATTTGCAGCGCTGTGTTGAGCCTATGGCTGTTATCTTTAAGAAAAATTTCCCCCAGCAAATGATATAATTTACCATGATATTGGAGGATTATTCGTCCAAGAAAAAAGGCAAACGTGAAAATAAAAATTCACAGATTAATTAAGAGTCGTTAACAACGTGAGCGCTTCCGTGACAACGCGAAGAAAGTTTGAACCTAAACTTTGACGTGATAATTACAATGCTTTATGACTTGGAAGTCATAAAGCATTAGATAGATAGCATTGGATAAAGCATTAGGTAGGTAATTACAATGCTTTATGACTTGATTATGACTTGGAAGTCATAAAGCATTAGATAGATAGCATTAGATAAAGCATTAGGTAAATAATTACAATGCCTTATGACTTGGAAGTCATAAAGCATTAGATAGATAGCATTAGATAAAGCATTAGGTAAATAATTACAATGCTTTATGACTTGGAAGTCATAAAGTATTAGATAGATAGCATTAGATAAAGCATTAGGTAGGTAATTACAATGCTTTATGACTTTATGACTTGGTATGATTATTGATTCACACGCAGATGTGCGAGAGCAGGTAATATTGACATTGTCAGGATGCAACTTTACATGATTAAAAAATAATAATTTTATTAATAATATATATAACAATTGTAATATTAGTATATATAATTAATATAGCAACAATGATAGCCATACCTAACTAAAGCAAAAATATTGTCTTGCTATAGTTGAAAACAGAGAAATCTTACATGATTATATTAAAAACTACCTTTATTATCTTACATTACCTTACATGATTATATTAAAAATTGCCTTTATACTCACGTAACAGAAGTATAGTAATTTTAAGCCACTCAATGCATTTACCATGACGTTACTAACGTAGTGTAGCTCCTTGACTCTAAACTGATAAACCTTGACTCCAACGTCTACTATGCCAATAATTCTAAGTGACGTTATTAACGTAGTGTAACTTTATTATCCTAAAATTATTCAAACCTTGACTAAGACATCTACAACACTATTAATTTCACGTAACGTTATAGACGTAGTGTAGCTCCTTGACCCTAAAGTGACACAAACCTTTACTCCAACGTCTACTAGCTATACCATTAATTCTAAGTGATGTTATTAACGTAGCGTAAGTGGCACCTTAAAATGATTCAAACCTTGACTTAGACTTCTATGCTATACTATTAATTTCACGTGACGTTATGAACGTAGAGTAGCTTCTTGACCGTAAAGTGACACTGACCTTGACTCCAACGTCGACTATACCAAAATTCTAAGTGATGTTATTAACAAAGCGTAAGTGGCACCTTAAAATGCTTCAAACCTTGACTTCGACGTTTATACAATACTGTCAATTTTACGTGACGTTATATAAGTAGTGTATCTCCTTGACCCTAAAGTGACACCAACCTTGACTCCAACGTCGACGATTGAGTCGCCCGTAGCAGAATCTTCAATGGAGCGAGCTTTGCTGAGTTTGGAGAAGAGGCCTTTGATGCCTTTTGGTTTTTTCTCTCCTTCAATCTCACTTGTTTGAGATCCTGTGGATATTCTGCAAAAAAAAGGAATTTCTGTCATTTTTTCGAGCTGTGATTAAAAGAAACTTCATTGTCTAATAAGCCCGATTTTTGCTGGAGAGAAAATGTTGGGATTACCTCCAACAAGTGGAATAAAAAAGATGAGATTTTTCTTCTATATAGAAAAATCATAATAAAATACATTGTTTCGTCCTTAAATGTGTAGAAGCTATTATTTTTAGTTATTCAAAATGAGGTAAGAGTCTTAGGAATGCTGAATTTTGGGACATTGAACACAATTATCGACATATGATACGTTGATCTCAGAAAATTCTAGCGCGTGTTAGTCTGACAGTGAAGCAATTTATTCAATTTCTTTATTTCCATTGAAGATGAATTTCAGTGCTAACCTTAAATGGGGAAATAATTAGCTGTCTTAAACAAATCTGTTTCCGTCTTCGGTTTGAAAATTTGAGCATTATTCGGGAAAATATAGTTTCAGTATAAGTAAAAAGAGCGGTTAGAGAAATAGAAACTTGATGAACAATTTATTCACGCATTATTATTAAGTTATCTGATGAATAATTTCATTCATTTATATCTCATCTGTCAGAAATTAATAACCAACCAATAACCAATAATTAATAACCAAAGTTTTCTGAAATTTGGAATTCATATAAGCATGACCATCAACCGTTGTAAAATTAAAAAATCACTGTTTTGATTTTAATCTATCAATTATATATCTAAAGTTACAAAAAACTTATAATTATAAAATATCCATGCATTTTATTAACGTTGACGATGAACCTCGAAATAAATAGACGTGATATTGATTGTAGAAAACAATCATGATGTTAATGACACTTTTTGGTTCAAGGAAATAAAAAAATCCGGAAAATCATAAATAAGTTTTTCATGATCTCAGGAAAGATCAGTTTTCAGTCAACAAATTCATCAAGGTGAATTTTACGTTAGACTTAGTTCTCTATTCAGCACGAAATGAAATCCATGACTTGGGAAATATTTATCCGTAACTTGAAAAGAATAATTTTAATATTCTTTCCCATTATCGATGAATAACGCATGAAAGAATAACTCAACTCAAGCGCGCTTCATTTTATAAATGCGTACTTACTGATTATTTAGTGAAACTTATTGCCGCATTCGTACATGTAGCTCCATAAATTTTTATTTTACTTAATAGAACTGCAAAAATCTTCTTCTTGAACCGTTATTTCACAGGTGCGCATTGTGGCTGTGAATTTTTATATCTTACAAAAATTTTTACCCCTCAGAAAAATTTTTTATCCGTACAAAAATTTTTACTCCTCACAAAAATTTTCGCTCAAAAAATTTTTTTGCTCCTCACAAAAATGTTTACTCCTCACAAAGTGGCACGAGTTGATTGGTTACCGATGCGTACCAATTAAAATTTATAGCCTAGAATAAACATTTCTGATGCCAAACATGAGTAACAAGCTATAGGACGAGAGCTGGAATGCGCCGAGATGACGCCGAAATGTCCACTTTATGACAGGTAAAAAATAGCCAAGCCGCAGTCATTGCTGCTTTCTGCACTCCGGCTTTGATTAGGTCATTGATGTCACAACCCTAACGAATCACGGCTTTTACGGTGATTTATCCTAGTCGTATATTTGAAAAATTCAGTAGGATATAAACACTGCACTTATTCAGTGACTGCATACATACCTGTATTATAAAAATTCTATATACATTATATCCCTTCTAAGCAAATCATAGCGATCCTGTAAACATTGTGGAAAAATCACTAAGACAGTACTTGCAACGTCAGGTCCATTATTTCAGGAAGAGCTTCTCGAGTGTTCAAATTTTGATATTGCTTATCGGCACTTTCACACTAAAGAGATCGGAAGTAATGAAGAAAAGGAATATATTCCAGGCCTAAAATGTTCTGCTAATGTTATTTTCGAAAAATTTCTTCATTTATTTTTTGCATTCATTAAATAATGATGTTTTTTTCACTGTCATTCGGCCTAATAAATATTCAAAGCAAAGCAGAACTAGTGTCACCCCAGAGAAATCCTGTCGTTAATATTGTTTTAATTCTACCGTAACCATACTTCATCCTGTTCAGATATATATTTTGCACTGGATCTCGCATATCGGTTTTGCTCACCGGTCCAGCGAAGAGTCTCTGTCGAACTTGGCTTTTCGCATTTCTTCTGTCATCGAAGATTCGATGCTGGAAGTGCTGCCCGCGTCGGTTGAAACCCAGATTTTACTCTGTGTGGAAATAGCAATTAAAAATTTAAAACCTGAGCAACATTTCAGATATTGTTTTCTTAATAATTTCGCGCAACCTTGTTGCATTTATGTCATTATATTGAAAACACTAATCGCAAATTTTACACACATTCAAATGAATTTTCATTTACAAATTGTTCCTATTAATATTGATAATTATACAGGGTGTTTCAGAATTAAGTAACCCTTTTAATTTGTTAATAAATAAAAAACTAAGAACGTTATGAAGTTGAAACTTGTTTTATTTAAAAGAAGAACATTTTTATGGTAATATTGTATCCTAGTTTTTAAATATAATATCTTTTAAATAACAGGATAATGACGTAACTATGATACAATATTACCATGAAAATGTTCTTCTTTTAAATAAAACAAGTTTCAACTTCATAACGTTCTTAGTTTTTTATTTATTAACAAATTAAAAGGGTTACTTAATTCTGAAACACCCTGTACTTGCACATGAATAGGCGTATTTAAAGCGAGCAACTTTATTGAGATCCGTAAGTTTAATTCGACCTCAGAAGTGAAATTTTGTGTGAATTGATCAACAACGGCAACTTCTAAATTATTCTTGAAAACTATTTAATTAAATTAACGGTGCCTGATTGAGAATAGTATTTTAACGTTAGTTTCAACCTCGTCATTGACTTTAGACAACTAATCTAGGAAAAAATCATGTGCTTATCATGTTGGAATCAAATTTATACAGTGACCGCACTGTTAAAGCCAATTGTGCAACATTGTTTAAGTTGGTATGTACTGCGTAGGTATTCAATGGTTCACTTTCTTCCATTATAAATTATATCTTTATAGTCTAAATTCTCCATCAACTCATCTTGTTGTTTTTACCAAAGACTCTTTTAACATTCAACCAATTTCATAATTTCTAAACTAATTGGGTTATATTAAGCTGAGGGATATTAACGGATGTGACTCCAGCATTAATTTCAATAACAACTGTTTACCACTTCTTCAGTCGCGAGGCAGAGATGTTTTGTTACACTATTTTCACTGACCCTGTCTTCCGACATCTGGTGGTCAAAGGACTGTGTTTTACGATAGAGGTTCGTCCGTATTCTGTTACACTATTTTCACTAACCCTGTCCTCCGACATCTGGTGGTCACAAGACTGTTTTATCGTAGAGATTCATCCGTATTTTGTTACACTATTGTCACTAACCCTGTCCTCCGACATCTGCTGGTCAAGGGACTGTTTTACGGTAGAGGTTCGTCCGTATTCTGTTACACTATTGTCACTAACCCTGTCCTCCGACATCTGGTGGTCAAGGGACTGAGCTTTACGGTAGAGATTCGTCTTCTGCTGCTTGGGCATCAAATGTTGTCTGTGCAGACCGCCTCTGCCGACGCTCCTGGACCTCAGCGAGCCGGTGGTGCTGCCTTCGTCGTCGCTTTCGACCGAAAGCGCTCTGAATATAAACAAAAATACAACTTAAATGCAACTTAACTTAAGAAGCAGGCAAGAGGTCGCAGGTTACTAGTATAGAAAATCACGAGTAAGGTAAATATAAATTATCTGATATAAAAATTATATACGAAATTGATTGTTCGAAAGAGGAAATGGATCAGGCAAAAAAAGCCTAAGACATTTGTAAACAATTGATCAAAATAAGAACTTATGTTAAATTGGTTGTTGCATGGAGTGAGAAAATATAAGTAATAAATTTTTCCGTCGTAGTAAAAATTTAAAATTATTGATAAGGAATGAGTTGAATCCAGTAAACAAGATTTTATGACAATAATTTATCCAAAGGATAGGATCGCAACACAGATAAACAATGTTAACTGATGTGGAATATGCGGTAACCTTATAAATTCAAATTAGGGCAACAATTATTCAAGCGATGAAAACTAGAAAAGCTGAAAAAATTGAATAATTGATTAACTAAAAACTGTTTTGATATCAACCAAACAGAATACTTGTCTTAATCTCACTAATATAGTTTGTGGTGAATATTGACCACTCCATTTTAAAGAAGAAATTTGCGTAGATATCGCATGCAAGTGAAGAAATTTTGCGTAAATATCACATGCAAGTAAAAAAATTTTGAGTAGATATCGCATGAGAGGAAGAAATTTTTCTCAGATATCGCCTGATAGTAAAGTGGTAACCGAGCGCCAAAACGCTGTTAGCAAGCAAGTAATTGAATTTACGGGCTGTCCCTTGTTTAATTGAAGTGCAACTCGTTCGTTTCAGGATACTTCGGGAATACTGAAAATACTGAATAAACTGGAGAAGGGCATTGTGGACGGAGGAAGAGAAGAGGGTAAAACTAAGCTATCAATAAATAGAAAATATAGGAAAGAAATAGGGGTAAGAACACCAAGAAGTAAGGAATGAAAACAACGGTATATGAAAAGAACAGTTCGAAGACAAAAAGGTTCTATGGGTAAAAAAACGTGGAAAAACCTGAACAAAAGAATCTTTTTTCGTAACGAGGAAATGACAAACAACGGAGAATGATATTCTGATGATATTACAATGGTTTTATTAAAGCGAAAATAAACGGTTCTTCACATGGAAGTGGCCAATTGTCCACCAAATCGAAACGGGAAGTTGATAACCGTCGTGATTCTGTGTAAAAAAAATTTGCTAAACAGATTCCGTAGCAAACCAAATTTCCGAAAAATGATGATCAAATTTGAACACTTATTCGTTGCAGAATGAAATACCTTGTGTCAAGCAAATAACCGATAATCCATATATATTTATACTGTTCTAATATTTATATTGTTCTAAGAGTGACGGAGTAGCACTGTTCCTTCTTACTCTTTTACCGGGCCAAACTGGGTCAGGCTGACCCACATAAGAGCTAACAATGCTTCGCTATTTGGGCAATCACTCTAATGTCGCTGCTTTGTTCTCTCAAGCTTAGCAGTGTCAACGGGGCCTTAGTTACGCTGTTTGACACTGGCAATCGGTCTCTCCAGTGTCAATGTCCTATGTTGACCTGCGAAAATTTCCCCGGAAATGAACATCAAGAAATTCCTTTCCCTTTCACGTGTATAAATGTGAGTCTTCTGGACGTCGCTGGTTTGACTTGAATTATAACCAAATTCTTCAGAGTCAGTTTGCCAAAATTAGGTTATTTAAAATCGCGATTTTTGACAATTTTTTCCTGAGCTCAGCTAGTTTATAATCTAACCTCCGCATTTACAATTAATCCGTTCAACTAAAATTAAGTAACTTTTATTCCCTGAGATATTTTCACACGGAAATAATGGCGTATAAGTTTACACTCTTTACACTTTAGGTCATTACGTTTAATAAGTCATAACCACAATTCAAACGAAAGAAACTACGAATGTCGAACCACGCAAGTTACGAATGTCGAACCTCACTCCAACACGAACCTTGAGTGCATCAATCAGACCTAATATTTGAACTTCAGTTTTTGCTAGAACTTGAATAGATATTGCCAATAAGGATATCGCCCTGCAACAACAAAAATAAATCTAACGCCCTTCGAGCTTCGGGAATAAGAGGAAGACAAAAATACGCATTTGTTCTTAAAATAACACGTCTCGATATTAAACTTGATAACTTATCCATAAACCACAGAAGCAAATATTCATGACTTTTAAGTTTTAATGGAATTAAGGAATAAGCAGCAAGGACTTATATCGAGTTTATTTATTCGAGAATAACGAATTCTATTTATTTCGTGAATAACGTAGGATTTTTGTTACTATATTCATGAAGCGATTCATTGCCATGCAGTTGGATCTTTGCAGCGAACGAATTCCGGTAAGTTTTGAGTTACAGATATAGCGCAATTCATCCGCATTTTCATGCAAGATTAGAACATTCACATTTATTTTGCAGTTATATAACCTCTAAATGGATTCTGGTCCAAGACCATGCCGAGGATCGATGATACAGTTGTAAATTAATTGATCACAACTCATAAATCTCCATGAGGCATATATAGTAACCTCTAAAATTTTGAATTACAAAGTGTACGATAATCATCGATGCGACGCTTATTAAATGTAGAAAAGGCTTATTTTTTCTTTGATTGAGTTTGAGTGTCAATTTAATTACTCTATTACACATGGAACCTTGATCTCAAATCTATCTTCAACTTATCTATCTTTTCAATTAAATGAATACATTTAAACTAATGTCGCAGACAAATACTTCTCTATCGACGAATATATAAAAAACGAAACAACGTTCAATCGACGTCAATTCAACGTATAAACGCTTAATCAAGGTTAAATCAAACGTCAGTTGTCAGGTTGGATACGTTCAAGACCAACACGCAAAACTCCATCAACAGAAAACAAAAATGCTAGTAATATAGATGTTTTTTTCGAAATGTAGGAAATTTCCAGTACCTAAACACGCAAAGTTTTGTGTGAAATAAGTACCTTCTTAGCGACGTAAGTACTTACGCTCTATTTACATGTCTATGATTGGTGGATTTTGCTTGAAAGGCCGTCAATGATTGGCGGATGAACTTACGATCTCTTAACTTTTTTTGAAAGTATAGGCCCAGGTTTGATACGTTCAAGACCAACCTTCTTAGCGACGTGGCTCTTCGTATCCTGTCTCGGTCATCGTACAGCCCCATCATGGCCTTGAGGTCGTCCATACCACGCACCAGCTTCTTGAGGGCGTCTGTGAAATCCTCTTTTGTTCGAGGCTTCGCATCACTTGCTGTTGGATTAAATAAAAATCAGTTATTGAATAATTATATATGGAATCATATTTGACTTAAAATATAGCAGCTCAGCAACAGAAGAGACGCATAATTAACTTGCTGTTGGGTTAAATTAAAAATCAGTTATAGACTAATAGTATATGGCCATTATATTTGAGTTAAAATGTAGCAACTTGACAACAGAAGAGACACTTGCTGTTGGATTAACCAAAATCCGTTTTAGGCTGATAATTTGTGAGCATTATATTTGAGTTAAAATATAGTAGCTCAGCAACAGAAGAGACACATAAATTGCTGTTGGATGAAATAAAATCCTGTTTTGACTAATAATTTATGAGAATCTTTACCTGCTGAGTTCAAATTCAGCGAAATAACCGCAGAGGAGCACGTTTGTCATTATTGAAGTTTCAAATTTTGAACATTTTAGGGATTTCTCAGTTCGTAATGGATTAGCATTGATGTAAAAACTTAAAAAAACTTCTTTTGAGACGGAGTTGTCAGTAGATATCACTTTTCCTACTCGTTTCGTCGCCCAACGATGAAATCATTTTTATTCAGTTTTACAATTGAAAAAACTGACTAGTAATACCAGTTACGTTTATATTTCATTTAGCGTACATAAATCCCAACGAAAACGTACAATTCATGCATGAAAATTTCGTACAAAAAATACTTGCATATTAAGACTAGGGCTCGTTTCTCTCATGCAATCCGAAAAACGAATGGATTATATTATCGAAATGATGACACACTCTCTGCAAGAAGCACTGACACGCCTTTTGCCGGTCCAAACTGGGTCAGGGTGACCCACACAAGGGCGCAAAATGCATCGCAATTTGGACAAAATCACACACATTTCCATGAGTGTGTCCTCGTATGCGCACAGCAACACAGAGCGCGGATATTGGATCTGAGGCTTACAGAAAAAAACCCTGCAGAAATATTCGTCTCGTTCAAAATAGAAGGTCTAAAAATACGTGGCAGACCAGCCGGTGTCAGACGCAGACCCTCCTTCCACCTCCGCCAACAATAAATAATAATTTTATATCGTCACTCAATCTAGGTCAACTTATTCCATGTCTTATTTCCAATCTAACGATGCCTTAAAAAATGAAACTAAACTATAAATAAAGGTTATTTTCACCTGTTTCAAATCGTATCGTACACCATCATTGATAAAATTTAAGTTTTTTTTATTACGTGAGTGCGATCGATCGTCAAGAAAACGGATGCAATGAAAATCGGGATGTCATGACCTTTCACGAGTAAAAAATTAAAATTTATACTTATTGTGACCTGAAATAATTTTATCATGGCTTTCAACCTAAATTCCATTCATGTAACATAATTTTAAGAAAAATGAATAAAACACTATGAGGTTGATTCGCGTTTTATTCAAATTTGTGATAAAATACTTATCTGAATATACTCCAAATTCCACTTCAATATGATGTCTAGATTAGAAAGTACAAATGTAAATACAATGTAGATGAAATCATAACTCTTAAATTTTCATGAGCAACATTTTAACAAAAAATTAAAGATCGATAGTGGTAAGGAATATTGCGAATTACTGGTTTTGCCAGAACGCTGCTAGAACGCAGCCTCGCATGCCAGCTTCAAGCTATGGTGCGAGAAGATAATACGATTAAATTAAATTAAATGTAATAATTCATTGACTGGATCTGTCGCTCTATGGGCTGCAATATACAAATGTAAGGGAATTAATTTACCTGTATAAACAGGCCCCATAATACGTGGGTATGGAGATAAGTACAACAATGAGGCTATAAGTAATAATGTCACTTGTTTGCTTTAATCGCAAATTCACTAAAAACATAAAAGCAAAGAAAACTCCACAAAAATTCATAGTATCTTTAAAGAAAACGTTTCGGAGTCCAGCTCCATCGTCAGTTCGAAAATTCTAAAAACACAGATAAATCAGTAATTAGTACAGTCATGATTGCAACAAAAAACCTAAGCTGTAAAACCTATCTATTTACAATTTCCAGCGGGTAAGAGCTAAAAGCTAAATTCAGGCTCACGCCGAGCAGTGCGATGTCCCAGTGTCTGACAGTGACTTCAAAGTTTTAGCTTCCAGTTCCGGTGTTTCTGATTTGCGCATTTTAGAATCATTGTATATTTTTAAACAGAGGCCTAGTTTGAATTTAGCTTTTAGCTCTTACCCGCTGGAAATTGTAAATAGATAGGTTTTACAGCTTAGGGTTTTTGTTGCAATCATGACTGTACTAATTACTGATTTATCTGTGTTCTAGAATTTTCGGACTGACGATGGAGCTGGACTCCGAAACGTTTTCTTTAAAGATACTATGAATTTTTGAGGCTATAAATGTGAATGTTAAGGAAGATTTATCTACCAATTTAAATTAAACCTTTTTAAACCAAATTCTCTTTGTCAAGACAAGTAAGATAAAAAAATTTGCATAAGTGTAAAAAGATTGTATAGTATTTTGAGCGTAATATGCCAAGCATTTTGTAATCTCTTCGCAGAATAGTTGATATCTATCTCTTCACGGTTAAAATAAGATTTTTACGGGCAATCAGTTCCGAAATTAGAAAAAATTGTTATTTAAAATATCGCGATAAGCTTGCCTGCAATATAATACTGGAATTATTGTGCATTTATTGATATTGCATCAATGACTTGATGCAAAATGTTTTCCTCAACAGTATTTACTTAAATCAAGATAAATAAATGTACATTCTTCTGTTCACAATCATCGATGATGATGATTAGAAGATTTATCGAATTGACTTAGTTAAATATGCCCTCCACTTGAGGTATAGTAAGACTGCATGATTATTCTCCAAATTATGTCATTTGAAACAAGCACCGGGAATGCAGAAGAGAGGCTTTTACTCCACAATGCTCGATTTCACCTCATGCCATCCACCGCTTTCACAAAGGCCGATGAACTCGTAAATTGATGAATGATATTCTTGGATATCACTTCAGATTAATTAAATGATTTTTACAGTGCTCAAAGTAGCCTGTAATTTACTTACAGTCTTGGTTCAGGCTTAGCTTTAGTTTAAAAATTCTAAAATAATTGTTACAAAATCACAATTTTTCCAAAAGCATGGATGCGACATTCTTCTCAAAAAGCATGGATGCAAACAATGTAAAATTTTTGCCAATTTAAGAATTTTTCTATAGCAGTGAAACGAATAATCAGTTTTCGCTGAGGCCCGCTCAGATTGATGACAACTAAACAACTATCTATTAAAAAGACGAAAACAAAATTAATTTCTTTACTTCTGCGAATTATTCGATATCACTGACACCAATAATCCGTTACCGATGAGTCACGCTCAGATTGATGACAACGAAACAACGATCTATCAGGAAGACGAAAACAAATTAATTTCTCTACTTCTACGAACTATTCGATAGCAGTGCCACCAATAATCTGTTATCGCTTAGGCACGCTCAAAATAATGACAACCGAATAATTATCTATCAAGAAGACAGAAACAAAATTAATTTATTTTTTCTATGAATTATTCGATAGCAGGGACACCAATAATCCGTTATCGCTGAATCACGCTCAGATTAATGATAACTAAACAACAATCTAATAAACGGACGAAAACAAATTTAAATTATTTACTTCTGCGAATTATTCGATACCGGTGACACCAATAATCTGTTATCGCTAAGACACGCTCAGATTTATGACATCTAAACAACTATCTATTAAGAGGACGAAAAAAATAATTTCTTTACTTCTACGAATTATTCGATATCGGTGACACCAATAATCTGTTATCGCAGAGGCACGCAAGGCGCTGCATTGTGCGATTAATATATTGCACTCGTGGCACTCACAGAGATTGGTCAGGGAGGTGTCTCTGCCATCGATGCTCTCGCCGAGGATAAGCGGAGCCAGGTCACGTACAGTGCGCATCTGTAGGTCAACGAAAAGGTTTCAGTTCTCCTGGCAATGGATAGTCGAGGATTAGTTCTAAAAATTCGGAAAATGCAGATTAGAACAAGGTAAAAAATAATATAATATAATATTATTGGTATAATACAGTGGTGTCAGTGGAGAGCAGTTACAAATCAGGAGCAGTTCGTGATCGTGAAAATTATTAGAGTTATAATAATGAATGATATATAGTAAAATTAACATATTTAAAAAAAGTCATACTTCCAAGCACAGATTGAGTGAAAATGGTTTTAATCCGTAAGAAATTTTTAGAGACAGCTTTTTTCGAAACTGATTTCTGGAATCGGATCGCTCGTTGAGGAAGTGGTGCTTCTTTCCTTACGGTTGAAACAATAACGGAAGACGTTCTATCTTTATTGGAATCAAATAAATTACTATTTTTTGTATTCCAATAAATTTATTTGATTTACTAATTTATATGATTCCAATAATTTATATTTGCTTCCATGTTAACTAACAGCTTAATTTCACACGTGAGTGTACTTTTATTTAGTCTAATTCATACTGCACTACTTTAGAAATTTCTCTCAGATGTGGGGATAGTTGAATTAATGGCTGATATTATATTAGAAGACTGATTTCTGGAATCTGATTGCGCGTTGGAGAAGTGGTGCTTCTTTCTTCAACGCCACTCTCCAACGTGGTGTATTAACAAGTGGTGTTTTAACAATATATTATCGGATATCTTTGAGGCAATATAGTTGCCACTAATCGAAACGACAGCTTTGTTAGATAATTGTCGCAGAACATCGTTTGTTCAAATTCATAACATACTGTCAGCCCTCTAAAAAATAACCGAAGAGCCTCCATTGGCACCAGCAATCTTATCTAAATTTTCGAGGTTGGCTGACCTCGGTTTCATTAAACTGACCTCATAAAGGCATTCGGCCATCTCCTATACGGCATTGAATATCCTTTATTCGGCATTGGAGAGCAAAGGGAGTTTTTTAAAAAAATCTACTACTGATAATGACACATGTCATTACTAATGTGGCAGATACAAAAGAACAGTATCTGCCACACAGCAGATACTGATCTTTACTCGCCACGCATCACTAAAAAACTGATAATCACGTATAGAACACCAATATGCACGGTTCAATGATTTAAATTACCACGTAATAAATACGAAGCAGTTTCAATATCTTTAAAACATTTATGAGATCGGTCGTTGATGGTAGTCATCATAAGTGCTGCGGCGGCTTATATAGCATTAAGGTTATTGTAAAATAAACATGTCAATGTTAAATACTTAGCAATGTTTTAACGATTGCTTACTCATGTATCGAGGCGTGAAATGTTCATTGTCATCGAGCAAAAGTCGAAAACATGTACGTTTTAGTTCACGTACAATTCACGTGACTTACGAATTTCCTCAGCTACTCGACTGACATGACTGCTGACGCGATACTTTTATCTTCTCACTTTCAAAGATTGCTAGCATTTTCGATTTTACTGTCAGTTTGAGTGTAGCAAATTTACAATTGCTCCTCCAAGTTTCCTCACGGAATTTAATAAGCTAAATTAAAATAAAACAGCAGTTAACCTCTAGTTTTCTATTATTGACGCATTGATCCAGCTCAAATTTTGTATTGCAGGTCACTGAAACATAAATTAAAGGATTTAGTCTATTTTTCCATTACATAAATGACAGCTACTATGGCAATGCTCGATCTTTTTCAGTATCAAGATAAAGTCTTAATAAGTTTCAAACAACGTTCACATTTTCCAGTTTTCAAATAAAAATTGAGTTATTTCCTCAACCCAGCCTGTCTTCCCTCAGAAAGAAAAATTTAGACAATTCCCCCCTCTAATTAAAGAAGTTCGTACACTCGACTCATTGCCTGGAAAATTAACAAGACTCACCTTCTCTGTGAATTGATCGACTCCCCTTTCTAAGGCTCTCGGTTAACCTCATCGGCACATATTTTGAGGTTCCCTGGCCTCACAACGTCTTTCTTTCTCAGTTTCTGAATCGGCATATCCCAATGAGCTCGACTCAAGCTCTCCAAAAGTATATCGCGTTTTTCTTGCTGGGTGAATACTGCCCTGCTACCGCCCATGTATTGGTCAAGTATATGGCTTCTCGCTCGACTGACCTGCTCCAAGATTCGCTCGACTCACCACCTCCGAGATTCGCTCGACTCACCACCTCCGAGATTCACTCGACTCACCACCTCCGAGATTCGCTCGACTCAGCACCTCCGAGATTCGCTCGACTCACCTGCTCCAAGATTCGCTCGACTCACCACCTCCAAGATTCGCTCGACTCACCACCTCCGAGATTCGCTCGACTCACCACCTCCGAGATTCACTCGACTCACCACCTCCGAGATTCGCTCGACTTAGCACCTCCAAGATTCACTCGACTCACCACCTCCGAGATTCGCTCGACTCACCACCTCCGAGATTCGCTCGACTTAGCACCACCAAGATTCGCTCGACTCACCACCTCCGAGATTCGCTCGACTCACCACCTCCGAGATTCGCTCGACTCACCACCTCCGAGATTCGCTCGACTTAGCACCACCAAGATTCGCTCGACTCACCACCTCCAAGATTTGCTCGACTCACCACCTCCAAGATTCACTCGACTCACCACCTCCGAGATTCGCTCGACTCACCACCTCCGAGATTCGCTCGACTTTGGCTTGCTGGTTGAGGGACTCTCAGCTGCCGCCCAGGTATTTATCACGCATGGCCTCACGCTCGACTCACCACCTCCGAGATTCGCTCGACTTTGGCTTGCTGGTTGAGAGACTCCCTGCTGCCGCCCAGGTATTTATCTCGCATGGCCTCGCGCTCGACTTCTGTCCTGTCTTTCTCACGCCGCAGCTTCTCGTTGATCTGGCGCAGTTTTGCGTGAGCTTCTCGCAGCTCCTGCAGGTCTCGCTGCAGCTGTAGGACGAGGTGCGGGATGCGTTTGAAATTTATAGGCCAAGAATCAAATTTATTTTTATCAATTGATCAAATTTATTGCCAAGAATGGATCAAATTTATTTTGATCAATTCAGCTAGGCCAAGATTTTAGTTATTAAACTTTAGATTGCATTAAAAGTTATAGGCTGTATTTAAAATGTGTAATGTTTCACTAAAAAGTTTACCAATTTTAAAAATGTAAATGTTGTATCAGAAAAATTTTAAATGCTTGGTGCAAAAAGGTGAATAGGTTGCATTTACAAAGTTATAGGTTTAATTTAGAATATAACAGCTGTATATGAGAAGTAAGAAGCTGCTTTAAAACCTACTGACTACATTTTAAGATTAGAGGCTTCATTCAACAATATTACATATATTGAATATAATAGGCTATATACAGCATTTTAAAGCCCGTGCTTGCGTGAAATTGACTTTATAATAATAGTTTCATAGATTCTGCGAGTTGCACGTATTAAGGTGCAATCAGGAAACGGAACCGAAAAAGTGAAAAGATATGCATGTTATGAGGCAATTAGAATGAACAATTACGCTTCACCTTAAGACATATTGTTAATATCAAAGCAACAAAAAATTAGCATTCACCAATTGGAAAGGGGAATTCGTTACTGAGGAATTAGCATTCACTCAGTAACACCTGAGTTGATTTATTACTCGAAGTACTCATTCGTGCACTTACAAGGAAAGACGCAGCACCGTAGAAATTTAAAATAGTATCAAATTTAAATTTCAACCTCACATTTGGTGAAATTTGGAAATATTCTAAATGGACAGGAAAATTTCACAGTAAACAGTGATAGCAATTTTATTAGTTATGATACTTATGGATATGCCAGCCACATGAAAAATCCAATATTCACGTGGATAAAGCCTAAAATACATGAACTTTCAGCGACATTGTAATCTACAATGATTGAAATTTTATATCAGCCAACTATAAAATTAGGTTAAATATTACCAAAGTTAATCAAACATTAATCATAGCTTTAAATCAAACAATGAAAATTATAATATTATAATTTTATATTGTATAAATATCATAATGTTATTGCATTATTATAATATTATACTGCAGGAAATTATACTATTATTTGCAATGCATCGTTGTTGAAAATGAAGAACCTCTCTCACCTCTTGAACCTTGCCGATGGTGTCTTGCTGGTCGACGTTGACGCTGCGCTTGAGCTGCTCGATCTTTCTCTTGGCCTCCAGCTTCTCCAAATCTCGCTCCCTCTCTACTTCGTACAACGTCTGTGAAATAACATGGAAATAAAGTTAAATTTAATTTTTCTACTTAGATGTTAATCGTCGTCACATAAATAATTTTATTTATTTCAAGATTAATTTCGGTAGAATCCGAAGACAACAGAATTAATCAAAAATATGGTTTCAGCATTAATTGGAATTTATTAATTGATTGAAATTTTCAATATTAATTAGAATTAATCATAAACATTGAAAAATAGAATATTAATAATATATTCTGGCATACAAAATGAACTGTAGGATTTCAAATTATTAGTTAGGTAAAGCAAATTTCTTGTTGGTGCGTAATATCTTGTCATTTATTAATTATTTGCAGTAGAATTCAATTATGTTCATACATTCAGTGTATAAATATTCTTGATTGTCTTACAACCCTAATTACTTTCTTCGTAACTAAGGACACTATTTGCAGCTCAGTTCGTACTTTTACTAAATTTATGCGATATTTACCGAAAATTAGAAAAAAAAGTAATGGTTAGTAGTTTTGGGACAACGGACCGCCAAGTTTCAGTCACTATCATGTTTTCTTACGATTGGAACGAGTTTTTTTTACCTATGGCTTAAAACCTCATCATACCGACAATCAAAAAAACTATTTTCAATTCTAGTTTCACTTGCCCAAAGCGAGAAGGAACCTATGGGCGAAACATTAGGAACCACAAAAGGAGAACCACAAAATTAGGCTCTAGGAACCACAAAATAATTAGAAACCACAAAAGGAAGCTCTGAGTGAGTGAGATTCATCCGAGAGTCTCGCATTACTAAGAGTTTAGAAAATTCGTTTCATTTCAGGGACTCGCAGTCTTTCATCGAAAATTAGGACTGCGTACCAAGGAAATTTTATGCATGCATGTCACGCTTGATGAAACAATAGCTGAAAATTACATGGACGATTTTTGCGTCATACATTATGTTCCTGGAGTTAACAAATAAACATGAGTTAACTATAACGAAAATGTTACTGCAGCTCAGCAATGTTTTAAATTACGTAAGTGTATATCAAAAAAGCCTAAATCTTAGCTCGAAATTCGATATTAGTTCGAAAACGTTTCCTATTAATGCTGGTATATCTTTAAACTCTTCTCTGCCTGACTACTGAATTTCGTGAAAAAATTTTGGAAAGTTATTTGTGGGATAACAGTTTTTAATTTTTTTTAATCTTGATTTCATTAGCATTTCTGTTAATAGCAACGGAATTTACACTACTTTAGATCATAGGCTACCTAAGCTTTTATACAAGCACTTACCTTTCATTACTTTTCTCAAATCACAAGTTTTCTTTGAAAAAAAAAACGCTAAGTAAATTCACCATACATTCGTCTTACACGTCTTCCATGAATATATTGTTTAGTGAAGATTCCCTTAGCGTTGTTTTTGCTTTTCGTTAATTGAATAGGTTCTAGATAAATATGTCATAAAATTACTTAGTGTTTTTTTTTATTACTTTTCGTTCATCGAAAAGATTTTCAATGAAGATGTGTCCAATTTACTTGGTGATTTTTCATCTTCTAAATACTTAGTTAAGCGTCTTAATACTTAGCCAAGCTCTTTCATTCACAGCCGAACTCGCCTCATTAAGCTTGGTCTGTGCCTCGCACAGTTGTATGTCTGCGTTGGTCTTAACGTCGACGAGGTCGTTCTTAAGTTTGGTGTTTTCGAGGCGGTAGTCAGCGAGCTTGTCCTCTAGTTCCGTGACCTGGCTTTGTAAATCCAGAACCTGCGACTCGTAACTTGCCAGCTATCGGAGATAAACAGGATTTGAATGAACAGAGATGAGGAACATGCGGGAAACTGAAAAAAAATGTAAGTAGGGCTAAAAACTACATATATTTCTTGATGAATAATACATTGATGCAGTCGAACAACCAGGCGTATGTATGGCATTATTTAGAAAAATTCGGTCAATGATATTCGACTTAAATTTCTAAATAACTGACAAAATTTAATACTATTATTAGACCGAGAAATAAGCAACTAATTCTCACTAAATAAGTAAAAAAAAACATAAAAGAGCTGAAGAACTCTCACCTCATTAGCGTTATCTGCTCTCGATGTTCTGTACTGAGAAGCAGAGCCTCCGTTGTTGCCCGACTTCATTTGTGTCAAGTTCTTTTGCGAGGCCTCGAGCAGCTCCTTGTACCTGTCTCTCTCTCGCCGGTATTTCGACATGTGAGTCGAGAGGGTGCTAACTTCCTCAGCGAGGGCCTTGAGCTTCGTGTCGTACTTCATCTTGATTTTTGTCGTCTCGGTTTTGACCGATTTCTCGGCCACGCTTAGTCTGAAGAGTAGAAATAATCATGCTGAACAATAAGAATAAGTCACCAAGAATAAAACGATACATTCAAAATAGTTATAGTTATAGGAAAATGCTTCATGTAGTTTGTATGAAACATCATCAATTACAACGCGGTATAAATATAATTTTAAATCACAATTGGTAGGCACTTATCGATAATGAATTTATGTGAATAAAGCAAATACAACGTAAAAAAGCTAGAAAATGGGAAGTATGCAATGCATCAGCGTAAAGACAGTCATCGGCTGGGAAAACATTATAGGAAAATGCTTCATGTAGTTTGTATGAAACATCATCAATTACAACGCGGTATAAATATAATTTTAAATCACAATTGGTAGGCACTTATCGATAATGAATTTATGTGAATAAAGCAAATACAACGTAAAAAAGCTAGAAAATGGNTCCCTATGGCTATGAATCTCTTGATACCGACAATAGAAAAAAACAATGTTCATTCCTAGTTTCACTTGCCCAAAGCGAGAAGGAACCTATGGGCGGAACATTAATTAGGAACCGCAAAAGGAGGCTCTAAGTGAGCGAGGTTCTTCCTAGAGTTCCGCATTACTACGAATTCAGAAAGTTCGTTTCATTTCAGGAACTCGCAGTCCTTCATTGAAAATTGGAGCTGCGGACCGAAGGAAATTTTATGTATGCACGTCACGCATAATGAAGAAATAGCTGAAAATTACGTGTATGATTTTTGCGTCCTACATTATGTTCCAGGAGTTAACAAATAAACATGAGTTAACAATTTCGAAAATATTGCAGCAGCTGAGAAATGTTTTAAATTACGTAAGTGTATATCAAAAAAGCCTATTTAACAGATGTCGATTGATTTTCTTTTATTTCAGTGCGATTGTGACATGAAATCTCGCGAAAATCTACGGAACAGACAATCAAGATTTCATTTGATCTGTTTAATTTGGATAAATGAGAGCAGGGGAAGTATAATTTTTTCTCAATTACTAATATGAAAAATTCATTTTAAAAACAGTTTCCGTATATTCCATTGCAATTCAGTACACTGGAATGATCTTCATATTTGATTAAGGTAAATTTGAGTGGCCTAGTTTTGAGTTAAGCTTCAAGTTTTGCCCTGTGAATATCATTCAAAAAAATAAGAGTTTCAGTGAGTATGAGGCCAAAAAATGTAAGTGTTTGACTGTTTTTGCAAGAATTTTTAGGCGTATGTAGGTGCGCTTTTATATCATTTCACTCCAAATGCACGTTCTCGGAGTTCTGCACAAACCAACAACCTGATTACATCGTTGGAGCTCCAAGTATGAACGCGTTCAAGAACAGACTAGATAAAGCTATGGAAAAATATATGTTCAGATTTTAAATGCCTAGCTCCATATCGAACCCGGTAGAAGTCTAGTAGCTATTTCAAACTATCGTCAGTCTTGAAAAGATCCGGTCGAATGACACGATTATAGATCTTCTGTGAACAGTCACGAAAAGTTCAAGAATCGGTGACAGGCCACATCAAGCCTACTCTTTAGCGCCGTCATTACTATGTTATGTTATGTTGTGTTAACACTAATCAGCATCTTTCCGTAGGAATATTAGCCTCCAAATCATAGTATTCTTCGTAGGAATATTAGCCTCTAAATCCTATTATTCTACTCACTTGTCTGAGGTCCTTGGCGAGCGTGGCCGTCTCCTGCAGGAGGCGCTGCTGTTCCTCCCGCTCCTTCTGCCAATTGAGCTCCAGTCGCGTCCGCAGCCCCGGCACCTTGCGACTGCCTCCACCCAGCAGTCGATCTTCCTCGTACTAAACCAAGAAGAAACTTTTAAGTGATGAAGTGCATCGATATAGTATACAAATTATTTTATGTTGAAATATTGATTATATACTATATTTATATTCAATATATTAATATTGATATATTGATTCAAACTCTTTGCTACAGGTATTATGGACTCAGCCCCGGCACCTTGCGACTGCCTCCGCCTAGCAGTCGATCTTCCTCGTACTGAACCAAGAAGAAACTTTCAAGTGATGAAGTGCATCAATATAGTATAAGNTTTAAAATAGTTATAGTTTTAGGAAAAAGCTTCGTGTAACTTGTATGAAACATCATCAATTACAACGCGGTATAAATATAATTTTAAATCACAATTGGTAGGCACTTATCGATAATGAATTTATGTGAATAAAGCAAATACAACGTAAAAAAGCTAGAAAATGGGAAGTATGCGATGCATCAGCGTAAAGATAGTCATCGGTTGGAACAACAGTATGAACTGTAATTAAATTTAATGTTTATGGATATTATTGAAGAATATTTAGGACGATAAATTACTAGAATCACTGACCTGTTCCTCAACTCCTTGATTGTGCTTTCGTACTCTGAAGTGTCTGTGACGGCGTTTGTCTGTCGTCGGTCGTTCAGTTCGTTCAACTTCTCGAGATCGTCGACCTTCCGGCGAAGTTCTTCACCCTGACAGAAAAGAAGATGAACTTGAACTTAAACATTTTAATTTGAATCGTTTGTTCGAATCTCACGAGCAATTTCATTCTATTGGGCCAAATTTAGAGCTGATATATATTTTTGGAATGAAAGTGCGCTGGAATGATGGATCTTGACTTAAACATTTCTGATGTTGAAGAACATAAGTTTTAAACCGAAAAATATTTTTCATGAATTTGAATATTGGAATCAAATTTAAAAATTTTTATCAGGTATTCATGATAAAATGAAGAGATCATGAGAACAAAACATAAATGAGAGAACATAAATGGGAGGAACGCAATTCATGAGTAATAAAATATCCGAACTAAAAATTATTCAGGCATACCCTGGCTACATACTTTATTGCTGTAAGTGCTAATGAGGCACAGTCCGACGATTAATAGAGTACTTATTTTAGGAATACACGGCATACAGTGTATGTTAACAAAGGCTTATATGCCGAAGCGTAAACACTATTTTCATCGGCTCATAGCTGAAGTAGGGTTTAGTCTGAACATATCCGCGGAGGGTTCTTTGTCCTAGACTTTATAAGACTTTACTATCCTTCTAACATCTAACTGGATAGGAGTTATGAACCCTACACGGCTGTTCTCGGCCCAAGACTGCAGTACAAGGTTGATTACAGTGTTATTTAGCTTATGTTTAGCTGGCGTCACAAGGACGTGAATCGCTGCCGGATAAATAGGAAGATGGCATAGATGAGGGCATTTCAGAATAAGGAAGATATCCTTCAGTGAAGTTATTAATGAGGACATTTACTAGGTCAAATGACAGTGACAATTATCACTTGACAGTTCCAGTGAATTGGAGTGAATTGGTGATTGAGAGAGAATTGTGTCAGAATAATGGTGTAAAATACTATTGAGATGGGTAAATTGAATGCACTATTTACATTGTGAGGTGATACTGACACCAGAAAATATAATAGCAAAAGTCAATAAATCGTGCTGCATTTATTTAGGAAATTTCGGCCCAGCTCAATACTATTTCTTCAAATTCATTATTTGACTTTTCAACTCTTAAGATCTTTGATTGGTGAGGAACCCACATAAATTTTCTACTATAAATGAGAACATGTTAATAAAATGAACGAATTTGAAGCATCAAAACTTATTATTTACATGCGACGCACAAATTTTCTGCCACTGCACCTGTATAATCAAGTGCGAAATTACTCACTTCTCGTCTGGAATAGCTAAGCTGGTCACGGAGAATTTCCTCGTCTCTTTTAAGTTTTTCTATTTGGTGATTCTTATCATCAAGAATATCCTTGAGGCGATTCTTCTCGATAAAGGAGCCGGAGTCTCCAGCTGCTCTGCCAAGGCGCATTTCGAGGTCCTTGACTTGCTCCTGTAAATTGCGCAACTTTAAATTTATAATGCCTTGTGATGGGAACAAGATGAGTGGGATAAAATGTTCAAATTAAACCACATTTATCCTACAAACAATCTATCCATCAAAGAATTAGACTCTGAAAACCGGACAGCATCGAGAAATTAAGATTCATATTCAGCCTGTTGAAAAGTAATTCCAAGAAAGAAGTTGCAATCAAATTTAAATTAGATGCCTGATGGTTTTGAGCATAGTGATAATTATGCTCGAGTCGTACTCGCACAAAAAATATTCTCCTTAATCCACGTATTTTAGAAGCCTGATAAAGCATTAAGATAATCATGCTCGAATCGTGCTCGTATGACAAGTTCCTTTTTAATATTTATCTCATAGATGCCCGACATAATACAATAAAATAACAATATTCGAGTAGTACCTGCATGGCAAGTTTCTCTTTAATCTTTATCTCAAAGTTGCACGACATAAGACAATAAAATAATAATGTTCATGTAGGACCTGCATGGCAATTTTTTTTAATCCTTATCTCAAAGTTGCTCGACATAAGGCAATAAGATAATAATGTTCAAGTAGGACCTGCATGGCAAGTTTTTTCCAATCTTTATCTCATAGATGCCCGATAAATGCAATAAAATAATAATGTTCAAGTAGTACCTGCATGGCAAGTTTCTCTTTAATCCACGTGTCTTGCCGCAAGTTGTACGTCTCCCGAAGCTTCTTCAGCTCGTCGTCGATGGTGTCGTACTCCGTCTTTAGTCTCAAGTAGTCGTCTGTGACGTTGCTGTTCTTCGTCGAGTTCTGCATGATGAAGGAAATGAGGAGAAGAATATGGATTTAACAGGAATTTACGCTTTGATGTAAGCGAGACATAAAAATGACCTTAAAATTAGAGGTTGGAGGAAATCCCAGAAGAGTAAGACGAAAGTTATACTTAAATTACGAGGAAGATGGAGTTGCCACAAACATGAAAGTAGATTGAGGTAGGTTTAAAAAAATATATTTTAAATGTCAGGAATTTACTTCAGAAAGTTTGAATATTTTTTGAAAAGTGGAATAAAAATGAATGTCATGTTTTTGGTTCTTCGAAGCAAATGAAAGACACTGTCATACATCAAATTATCGCAGACTTTTAAATACAAAATTTGTCTGTATCAAATACTCATAAATTCAGACTTCTTTGAGTGAGTGCTCGTGTGTATATCACAATACATATTGCACAATAAGGAATCAAATAAATTGTATAGAATTATTGCGATCCTTTCTTCTGTTTCTCAAGCATGAGAATTAATCGCCTTATTTATCCCTAAAAATTAGTAACAGAACACCCGCCCCAGTGGAGGTAGGTGGCTACTTTGATTTTCAACAAAAAGAACAATTGTACTTTTCTAACAATGTAACATTACCCATGATATCACCTTTTGAGCTCTAATGAACATGGGAATTATTTTGAAGAGGCGGACCGGAAGCCAACTTTAGCATTCACTTTAAATTTAATTCCAATCAGAAGATTCTCTTTGGTAAAGTAATTGGTTGGGCCAGTCAACTTAATTTATTGCCGTTCAAAGAGACTAAGAAATCTGGGCAGAGTTCAAGCATCCCAACAAAAGGTATTCAGAAGAAGAAATGAGTAAATTTCTGTACTAAATATCACTATCTTGAATAATTAATTGCCATTTATGAAATTTGAAGAAAAAATTCTTAAAAACTTGCCAGTGAAATTATTAATAGCAATTATATTAATTAAATCAATGAACTAATATATATGAATAGCAGAAGAAACAGCAGTTACATGATGCGTAAATGTTTATCTACATAAATCAGACTTGGCGTCGCTTTGAAAAGCTTACGTTACCTGAGCCTTCTGTACTACGAAATCTTCTTCCAAAAGCTCATATTTGTCTTGCAAGTTGACGAGGTCTTGATGAGCCTTCTTTTTGGTCTTCTCCATATCTTAGGGCAAAATAATGTGGTTATCTGGATACAATTGAATGAATCAACAGTTCCGGTTCTCGGGACTGAAATTTCATTTTAATTATTTTCCGGAGTTTCTTAAGCTATTAAAAATGTTTTTTTTTTTGCAGCTGTCCTAGCTTACACATTCCCAGAAGCTCACTGCAATTGAATAATCCGGCTTTCTAAAATTTCAATCTATTCCGTAATTTTTAATGATTGTTACTGTGACCAATTATCCAAAAAGAGATTACATGACGGATATTGGTCCTTTAGATGACGATCAAAATGTCCTATGTTAGAGTGAGAAGTTCTAAATTTACCACTTCGTTAATCTAGGTTTAGAATTTCATCTTTGCCTAATTGTTTACATCAACTTATAATGATCCAATAAGTGGGTGTAAGTTTCAGCCGTCATTATAAAAATTTTACTCTAGTTATTGTGATAAGTTCCACCTATAAGGAAGATAGTTCAATAAATACAAAACCTTCAAGCAATTATTGCCTAATTAATTTGAAATTTAGCATGTTTCAGACGGTAAAAATGTTTTAATTTAAGATATATAATTTTTCAATGCACTTTCCGATTTGGCAAATGCGGTACAAATTCCAGCCTCTCTGATTTGTCTTACCATCGAGCTTCTGCGAGTATGTGGACCTGAGGCCCTCGAGTTCAGTGGAGAGCTTCTTCACCTCCTGTTCAGACTTGGCAAGTTTCTTCTGCACTTCGGCGAGCTCGAGCCCCTGGCCCCGCAGCGGCCGCGTAAGGCTTTCTTTCTCCAGCCGCTCGCGTTTTGCTTTCTCTGCCTGAGCGTCGAGTGTTCAAGTGGAGCGAGAAAATTTTACAATTGAAACGATTTGGATGTAAAATTGCTTAGGGTGTGAGGGAGAAAATTGTTGGAGGGATTTACGTTGAAACGATGTGAAGGTGAAATGGCGTAGTGTGAGGGAGAATGCACGATGCATAAAAAAGTAAAAAAAAATGAATGGGGAAAGAGACGTTTGAACAAATGAATTCAAAAGAGCAAAAGTAGAGGCGCTGAGAAATAGGCCACGAGGCGATAGGGAGAGGTCAAAAGTAATATTGTCATGATATTAACATTCGGAATAGATATAGAATCAGGAAAAAATAGCAGGAACAATACATGCAGCGCGATCACCTACAGACGAACGCACTGTACAACGTGACAATCCCCGCATTAGATTTGAATAGGAAATTAAAATGGAATCTTCATTAGACGACCGTCGTTCATTTCCCTGGTTACTAATGAAACGTCGGGAAATTCAAACTGTGGTGGGATACTCGGTCTATAGCTTGTCATGTCAAGCAGTAAACAACTTTTGCCCAGGAGAGTTGCAACTCTGGAAACGCTTTAAGCTCGTACGTTACACATTTAGAACTTATTATAATGTTCAGTGAGTGAAGATATAATTGTTTTGATAAAAACATTATTATGTTATTTCAAGATTAAAATATAGCACGAGCACGAGAAACTCTGATCCATAGAATTTTTAATCAGCAATTGAAGGCGATAATTATCGGAAAAAAATTGAAGTTCACTTAAAAAGAGATTATGAATCTATTTAAATACTCACCTTAAGCTCACTTTCAAGCGTGTTCATTCTTATCTGTAGATCTTCTTTCTCCGCTCGAAGAGATTCAGCTTCCTTGTTGACTTTTAAGTTCGCTCGCTCTTTCTCTTTCTCGAGCTGCGTACGAGAAGATAAATGCAAAATTGGCAATTAAGACTCAATTTTTATAGGTAGCGAGTATACAAATGCTTTTAAAAGAACTTCTTCTCATTAGTATACCAAACTTGGGGGAGAAATGAGTAGGAATTCTTGGTTCCATTGTCACCCTACTTTCGTTATAATAAGAATACGGCTGATAGAGCACTAGTTGGTCAAAACCTACGGATTTAACACAATTTTATGAGGAAAAATCTACAAATTTTAGCCCCTCAAATTTTTAATTTACTCACTCACGAAGATAAAACATTTACATCCTCATTCGACCTTAAAATCTGTAAACAGCACCAGCATTGAAATATAGAATAAAATTTTCCTAATGTCAAAAGTAGCGAAAACGAGTAGGTCAGCACAGCCTGAAAAATTGTTCAGCACAATAAAGGTCTAGGTAATTTTTGTAACAGACTTATAGATTAAACAGAGATAATATCTAAACTGAAAGATATAATGCGTTTTAACACCTTCCAGAGTTGAAATTATCATTTCATAAACCTTTTTAGTGCCATAAAAATCACTTCTAACTAGATTCCAATTTACTACATTGCTGAAATTGTTTAAACGAAAAAGCTTTTTGAAGTTTGACCAAGGGAAATGTAATTAGAAATACGACCTGTTGCAGTAAACCTAATGCATAATCAGTTATGCATGTTTTCATCATGCATACCTTTATTCACACTACATTAAATTTATTTTTTTTTAATTCCATGATATATGGTTATCAAGCAGCAGAAAAATGACTGGTAGAATGCGATGCCCCTCTTGAGGTATAACCCAAAAATTTTCTTCCCATCGACGGCAATTTGTTGGTGATTAATATCAATAAATATCAAATAAACTTACTCTTGAAACTGTATCTTTGAGATCATCAACATCGCTGAGCAAGGCTTCATTACGACTCCTGAGTAAAGAAATCTCCTCGGAGTCCTTCTTGTGGGTCTCCTGTAGCTCCTGCAGCGTCCTCAGCTCTTTGTTCAGTTTGCTCTCCTGCGACAAACGAAAATTCTGGCCCAATGCAATAGAAATCATCTCTAAAATGTAGCATTCGACTGTAGTAATGGAGGAGGATGAGAAGAATATCTGCAATGAAGGATGGTTTCAGCTTATTTTAGGAAAATACAGATGGTGTAATGTATGGTGGAAAGACTAAAGATGAGTGCTTGAATTTCATATTATAAATTTGGAATGCTTGAGCCCGTAAACCTTTAGTAAATTAACGTTATTTAATAAAATAAAAGTGTCGGAAATGGCTGGAAATATCGTCAAAGTATAAGATAAGTTGAAATGCTTTCATATTTTTCGACAAAAACAGCAACTATTATGTTAAGATTCACCTGAATGCAAGATAGAAATTATCTCAATAGAAATTATCTCAATGATCGGAATTAAGTATTTCGCGATGGCGGAATTTTGTTTACAAAGTACCCAGGGTCAATTCAAAGAAATTTTATTTTACAGATTTTTGATATTTTTTTCTGAAATTTCAGGTTTCATTCCTAATTCTTCTAGTGTAGAGTATTCTTTTTGGAAAACCGCATCACTCCCATCAAGTCATAAATTCGCCGCATATCAATTAAGCAGCATAATATAGAAGAAAACTTATTTGACTTCTTTAGTTATCTTCTCATATTTTTTCTACCACCTGTCAGCAGTAATGAGCTGCGTAAAAAAATCGTAGCCAATTTTCGTTTACTTACGGCATTTTCCGCATTTTTCTGAGCTCTCTTAACTTCTTCTTCAGCTTTTTCTTTGCTTCTTCGGATAGTAGAGATTTCTTTTTTAAGATCATCTCTTTCTTTGAGCCATGAAAGTGACATTTCCTTGTGGCGTTCCTCAGCAGCGGACAGCAAAGATTTCTCTTCTTCCAACTGATTGGATTATTGTTAAATTCCATGCGGTTTACGGATCAATGCAACCATGAGTGCAAACAGTGCCAGACACTTTGATGCGGACACGTGTTTCGTATTTTTGTGTTTTATAAGAGGTTTTCGGGATAACTGAATGCAACCATAGTGGAAGCGGATAAATGAAAAGATCCAGTGTATTTTTGTGAATGTGTTTTTTTTTTAAATCAAAAGCTAAATCAAGTGTTATCAAAGAAAGAGCACATTGGAAGTGTAGTGTTCAGGTTCAACGTTGTCGATAAAATCAAACCGGCTCGAGAAAAAACCTCAGTCTCTAGCCAATAATGGCGTAGGGGCGATTAAATTTTAACAAAATTTGATGAAAAGATAACGTTAAAATGCATGCGTTCACCGAAAATAGAAAGTTTATCAATTATTGTCAATGTAGTTACATACATGTACGTTGTACATATTTAATTCGCAGTGTTTTAGCTTAAAATAATATAGTGAAGTGATAATAGAAAAGTAAGGTTTTAAATTTCCAAAATCACATGTTTTTTTTGTAAAGAGGAGTCCCAGTATGAAATGGAAAATTCAGCAAAATATTTCCAGAGATAGAGACAGAGTGTAAAAATTGATCGTTAATCGTAAATTGAGGTTCAGTTAGTTGAGTCATGGAAATTTTGAATCCCGAGGCATTGAGAAGTGGAGAAGAAGATCAATAATTTTGAGTAGAGTCCCAGGCGTGCAAAAATACATCAGAAGTGAAGAGCAGAAGATGCATTGAAGTCGAGGACCATACGTAGAGAAACAAGGTCGAAGGTGGAGAACAGATGGCAGGGACCATTCAGGCAGACGAGTGAAGGGAGAAAAGCATATGTGAAAAATAGTATAAAAAGTTTAAAGTTAGGCAAGTAGTTCATCACCATGTAGAGATGCATAGCCCAAAAATATACGGCAGAGAAAGAATTTGACTGTAAGAAATATGGCGGCTAAAATTATTTTAAAATTGTATACAGCTATCAAAACTCAGTATACACTGACTCAGTTGAGTATAATTCAAGAAATTCAAGCGAGTCAATAAAAAACCTAGGAACGTGAAAATTCAGGCGCCGTAGTCAACAAAATTGAAAGCGAACAACGTTTATTTTCTATGTCATTGAAATACAGGTCCCAAGCACTTAAAGTTTCTCATCTTAAGAAAATATTAGTTTTTCCTACTATTTCGCATCATGCAGAATGCATAGCAAAAGTTAAACAGCATTGAGAAAATCCTTCTACTGGAGATCAGGATCATTTTTATGCTCGTCGCAGCTTCAAACAAAACTTATTCACAGCTGCTTTATAAACACACAGGCATTCAGAGTCTGTTTAAATTTTCCTCTTCAAACACATTTCATCTCCATGATTGGTAAGACTGCGTTATGAAACTCGAACCGATTCTAAAGATAACGTTGTTTGCGTGCTTAAGCTCTATTCGAATCCAGAGCATGAAGTGCATTGAAACCTCAGGAGCAGTGATTTTTGACCTTCACTCGAAATTGGATTTATTAAGTTACCTCCATCCTACTTACTCCACAATTTTCCTTTGCACTAAAATATATTATTTCCTTTAAATTTTTTTTTCAAACGATCAATTGAAGACCTGAAAGAATCGAAAACATAATGAAAAAAGATATTTTTGCTTTTTAATACGCGCGCAGCTATTTTAGCTGTGCCTGTAAGGAAACATCGATTTACGAAAGAGTGGGTGAGGCGACCAATCAGAGCGCGGACGGCGGGCCGCAAGGGGCGGGTGTGAAATGTCACTGACAGACTGGGCTGCTGTGTAGCGAGATGCAGCAATCGATATATTTCGGTAACTTAATTAATATTGGGAGCTATTTAGAATAAATCGTGACGGTTACAATATCAGTGATCCTTAATGAAAAAGCATATGTAAACAGGTAAGCCTTTGAAATTTTACAGAAAGCTATTGTGTAGGTTAAATGGAATGAGGAATTTTTGCCCAAGCGAGGCAATCAAATTTGAAGGGAAAATTACCGAAAAATCTTTAGAGAATTTGAAATATGTAAAACTTCAGAGAATATGACCCCACCAATACCATAGATCAATTCAGTATTATTTTAAAATAATTAACAATCTAAAAACCAATTTGCCTATTTAGAATTAGTTATGCATAAAAAGCAGCTTCGACATGAATTCACATTTCAAGAAATTATTATCGTTCCCGAATGAAAGGAAATGGTGCCACGCGTAGTGAGGGTAAATCTTTTACAAATTCTTGTTGAAAAATCGTCGAGTTTTCGCTAATAATGCGTTAAAAGCTTCAATACTTTCTTCTTCATCTGTATTTGCAGTCGAAGTGAACGTCCGTAGTTCATTTTTTTTAATTTTTGTGCTTTGCAAATCGATGATTTCTTAGAAAAAGTATTTGAAGAGCACTTCGAATGATGCATTTTCGCTGAACTGTTTGATGTTGAAGAGATGGCGAGTTTTTAGTGAGCAGCTTTTTGAGAGGTTTAAATTATTTTAATGAGAGTCGTGACGCATAATATTATTATTATTATTTTTTAGATGACCTCAGAGTGAAAGGATGAAAGTATTTTACATCAGTGAATTAGATGGTGTTAAGATTGCAGATTGGATTTCAATCAATAATAAATCATATGATATGAAATGTATTTTTATTGGAACGTGAAAACTGAGCAATTTGATGTGCTAAACCTTTTTGACAAATTAAATTGATGATTCTTTTTCGGCCTACAAATTTGTTTCGAATTTATATGATTCAACTTTCATGGCAAAAAATAAAAGTTTTTTTCTTTGCAGGCAATACAACGGCTAGCTCACCAATAACATGTTTGCAACGGAAAATATGATAAAAATGAATTGGAAGCTGAATTCCACGAATAGGAAGTGAATAATTTAATCTCGAATGAGAAAATTAACGCAGGAGATATTCAATTTTATACAAAGATATTGAATAAAGAAATATGATGATAGTAATGTACAGTACGACAGGCATTTTCGCAATAATTTAATAATTCTTTATATAGTCAAGCTGTTCAGACGAATAAAAACTTTCTTTCAGTTTGTAACATTAAACGTAATATCATTATTTTCAATCAAATTTAATCAGCCCATCGTTTTTTTAGTCGGCAAACTCAAATCGCGGGAAAATATTGCAATATCACGTAATCTTTTTTATCCACATGTAATAATACAGTTATGATGGACTAATGTTTCATCGAGAAAATAATGACTGATTTCCGACCATAAATAAAATTAAGTAAAACATGGTTACTAAGTCGGCACTTTCTAACGTTTATTGACGGGTTATAATTTTGTCATTAAATTTTACACAATTAATACGGGCAGATATATGTTTTAACAGGGTGGCATTAGAATAAATGTCCTGATATATCAATTAAGAATTATGTAACAGTGAATCATGTGATCTATGTGTGGATGCTGACGAAAGGTGTCAAATTTTTGAGTAGAACATTTTGGACATTGTTTGAAATTTTAGACGCGCAAGCTCTGCATGGAAAATGGAGGTTACATTATTATTTCGTATATTTTTAGGAATATCTGAAAACATTTATTTACTGCAGTACCCAGATTAGGAATTCAAACTCATATTTTGAAATACTCGATAACTGAGTTGTATCTTGAACTTTTGTTGGTCCGAAGAGCGAGAAAAAATATTTCTGAAGCTATAGTAAGCAGGATTATTTGAAAAGGAAGGTTGAAATACAAAAATCTAGAAGTAAATCGATAATGCCAATAATTATTGTGTTCTATAACGAACTTATTGGTTCCAAGTTCGTTGGCAAGCGTTACACTAAGGATATACGAGCACGTGAGATGAAAACCGTCGTGAGATTATATTCGAACGGAGAAGAATTAAATTTATTATTTTCTGAAGCAATGAGGGATAGCAGGATCCTCATTTCCCCAAGACGAAAACTTGGATTAAGCGCTGGGAAAACTCTAGAATTAAAAATAACAGTCGCATAAAGTCATCGAGAAGAAAACAATCCTGAGACGCTCAACATGATGCCCATCAAAGAGAATACATAACGGCCTATCGTACTGAAGATTTTCGATGCAGAAAAAACAGCATTGAGATTTTTTATTTTACGGCACTCAAAAGAAAATAATGATTTTATTTAAAATTGTCCAAATCTATATTTACCTCTATCAGAGTGAATAAAAAATATTTAATTAGGCTCACACTTGGATTATTTCGAGGATTCAAACAATAGCTTGCTAGCAAATAAGAAAAAATAGCGGTTGTCCTCTCTATGGAAAATCTATAAATTTCTTCCAATTGCGTGAAAATTTGAACAAAGTTTGACCCAGAGACAGTCAAACTTTGGAAAAAAATTGACGATTTTTTATGTGATTCTAATTGAACGGAAAAATAATTAAGCATTATGTGCACTATTCCACTCACTATATACATGTACATAAATGATATCATCAAGCATCAAAGTTCGGTGTCCCATTACAAGCAAAAACTTTTATATTCGTTGATTTTAATAGCGCAATTTGAATGAATGCTCTGCAGATGTTATATACAATGATGACAAGCGAGCAGCTTTGCACACACACGAACCTTTGCCTCAGATTTACTAACTGCCGTCCGTAAATTTCTTTCCGTTTTCTCGCCAATTCGTAAAGATTCTTCTGTCTCTTTTAAACGCTTTTCGAGCGCATTGATGGTTTGCTGAGCCGCTGCCAGCTTTGTAGAAGGCAACCCATTCGATTAGTAACAAGATTTAGGAATTTCATGAACGCTAACAATTAAAAAAAATAATTGCTGGTCACCAAAATGCCGAAAGTGGCAGAGAAACGCATCTGAGAAATAGGAAAGGGAACAAAAATATTAAGAGAAAGATATAAACTCGAAGACAAAGTTGGAACCTTCCATGAAATAATTGTGAATATAAATTGGTGAATAAAAACCGATTGTAAAATGGATGGGAATAGTATAAATTGTCAGAAGACATTGAACAGCAGTAACATGATAAAATGTGCAATAATATCTGAGGAAATAGAATAAATAACACTATATTTAATTAAAAACAAGAAATTATATACTTTCGGATAATTGATATTTTGAAAGGCAAAACAATTTACCTCCTTTCCATCCCAGGGTCCTTCAGAAAATTTTGTAAAATTATCAATTAAGGCCAGAAAGCAGGATTGCATGAGACGAAATTTTCCAAAATGAAAATCTTTAAAAGACTAAGTACATGGAAGTTATAAAATGGACATAACCGCATGATGGGTATCATATGAACAAAACTACAAGGAAGTAATCAAAAGGACAAAACTACATTGAAGTCATCAATAAGACGAAACTACATGGAAGTCATCAAAAGGACCAACAACATGGATGTCATCAATAAGACAAAACTACATGGAAGTCATCAAAAGTACGCAACTACATGGAAGTCATCAAAAGTACCAAATCTTCCTCGAGCTCCTGCTTCAGCGCCTGGATCTTGTCTTCGTGGCGGCGTAGGTCATCCGCTCTCTGGACTAATCCTGATGAATTGAAAATCATTTAGGATTTGGAAAAATAGTCACATATTTATGCCTTTTTTTGCATCAATATTAAAATTTTATTTCATTCCTACGTTTTTTTGCAGTAAACATATACAAATTTATTATAATCTAATGTGTATTTTTTATATGTCAATTCAAAAAATTATCTGTTAACCACGAGCATGAAAAAAGAAATGAACATGACTGGATAAGTTCTATCGTTGATATCGATGACAAGCTTAATATTAGGTATACTGTACCTTCAACTGTACGATCAGTGAGAAACTAATGCCATTAAAAATTATCAAATTGTTATTGAAAGATTTTCCTAAAAATTTATTTGGAAATCAATTCCGATTTCTTGGCTGAACAATTCTGACAATGTGATCCATTGAATATCAAACTGTGAACCAATGAATATTAAACTTTGAACCATTTAAAAACAAACTGTGAACCATTGAACCTAAAACTATGAACCATTGAATAGAGTCATCTTACTTCTCTCCATGGAGACGTTCTTGTCGGATTTTTCTCTCTCCTCCTTGAGTTGGTGAGTGAGTTCCTCGACTCTCTCCTTCTCCTTAGCCAGCTCGTCCTTCAAGTCGCGTACGGCACCCAGGTCATTAGTACGGCCGGCTGTAGGTTTCTTTTTCTCGTACTCTTTAACGGCGAGCTGAAGGCGAGCTGATTTCAAAACAAAATTTTTGTCAAATTATCGAGTTTTGAATTTTTTTACATCAGTGTAAAAAAATTACTCTGATTTCTTTACACTTCTAACAAATCTTTTTCTCGTACTCTTTGACGACGAGCTCGAAATATCGACATATTACCGAATTTTCAATTTTTTTACATATTTATGTTATCATCAGTTGTCATAATGCTACGGTATAAATGTTCTTAATTAACGTATGGGATATTATCATGGGATACACGACACTACTGTGATGTTCAAGTAAAAATAATACTGAACATAACTGAAGGATTTTTACAACGATAATAAAGCCATGAAAGATGTGATTATTTATTTAGGCTTCAACATGTGGCTTCCATTTCCGCTTATAATAAAATTTTGTATTTTTTTTACTAATTTTGCGGGTGAAATTATACCTCGGATTTACAGGGCGTGGTCTTGTCTCATTCTTCAAATTTTTAATTTGTATCAATACAATAGATAATGATAGATTTATTGAATGAAAGATAATAAAAAAAGGGTTCGTTATTGCGATGCCGGAGCATAAATATTTTGCGAAGAAAAATTTCTTATTTTTTGAAATGTGAAAACCTCCTAATAACGTCAGCTCATTATTATGCGAGTAAGAAATACCCACAGAATTGCTGGATTTAAAGATTAAATATATCTATAATAAATAAGTTCGTAATTATTTGTCCTTAATAAGAGTGCCAGGAGTTTTATATATACATATTATTGGTTGCCACACAAAATAAATTTGAATAATAAGTTTCTTCTCAGACGCAAATTATTTTTGTATTTAGTATCTTTTAAAGTAAACACGAAATAAATATTGCTGCGAGCATATCATAAAATAACGTGATAAAAAAGTATATTTATTCATGACAGTTTTCTTTTCAGCTAAAACATGGATAATGTGTTAATTTTAATTTGTTCGAATGATATTTTCATTAGACCTTAATATTAAGGTTGTTGGGGTTAATAACACATTTTTTGTAAAAACCTTTCCGGATTTTCCGTTAGTATCCGGAATAAGTTTTTAAAATCCGAAATAATCTGGAAGCATAATATTTGGAAAACGTGATATTCACGCCACATATAGAGCTTATGAGGATTTTAGTCTTTTGCAATCTTGCACCTGTTTTATTATCATTCTATTTATGAGAATAATATTAATGGTATGGGATTTTAGATCGCTCACTGTCATCACGTTCTAAGCACCATCGCATATGCGAGGATCTCGATATTTCAACAAGTGGCTATTGATCAAAAATTCTTCACTCGTGTCTGCAACTTCAGCAATATTTTTTCATAACACGAAGTGAAGTAATTAATTAGAAATGTTTATGAGGGTCATGTTAATTTTTAACTACTTTCATTACATTTTCATCAGTTTTAATTTATAATATTCATAACAATGTAATTTTTACTACAATGCAAATTTGAAATATCGCTCCGTTTTAGATGATTTTTTGTAAGTATAACCTACAGGATTTCTGATACTCTGGTTTGTAACAATGGAAAGAAGTTACTTGTCACAGGTGCTATAATGATGAGCTTTCTTCATATACACGATTCATATTACAAGATAGCGGTTGTTTTGTGATTGTGAATACTATTTTATACTATTCACATATACATCTGTTAATCCTACATAGTTAATCTGCAATTAATCTACACTCTTTTTCTATTCCGAAAAAAGTCTAAATATCAAACTGGAGTTGTAAATATATATAGACACTAAATTTTAGTTTCAAATGAACGGAAAAAGATAAATTCAAGCTTTAAAAGCAGGTTAAGCAGTTTTTTGTAAGAATGAAAATAAACGCCTTTAATTACAACGAAATCTTATGCGAACATAATTATAATGGTCTACGCAATTGTTACCTGATTGTCTAGATGCATCGCAGTTAAAGCATAATTAGTTTATTGAAAGTATTCGTTAATTTCACAAACTTTTTGCTCCTGAGGAAGAAGTTTTTTTATATGATCCATTAAATCATCAACGGGGACATCCACCATCCAGACTCAAAAATATAACGGCCATAATTTCAAGTTAATTAGATCTTGGCATAAAATTTATCACAATAACTGAAGTTAAGATCGAAGTTGTTCATGAATAAAGTAGCGTAGTTTCCTTATTAAAGGAGACGCCGCGCTGGTTCGTATTTATGACCCGTGACTGGATACGTTCATTTAGAGTTTGCGTTGGGATGAAGTACAGAAAAAGAAGACGGCAACGTATAGAGCTAAAATTTATTTTAAATGTTGGGCAAGTAGTTTTTTTTATTCGAAGTCACAGATTATTCGCCTTTTGATATTTCGTATACGGTCGTTTTGCAGCACGCAGTTCATGTTGAGCATTTATTTGTTGCTTAAGGCTTTTAATTTCTCATACGTTTATTTAACGCGATTTGGTGTTGAATTGTTTAAAATTTGCGTGCAATTTCTTCCAAAAAAGTTTATAGTTCCAAACCACACATAGAGCCTAACAACACTAAACTATATGAGCTGTAAAAACTATCCATATCATTACGTCGTTAATAATAATTAATTAATGAATCAAACTGGTGCATTCTATGGACGACATTGTAAATATTCTAGAAGACAATTCGACCATACTATACACTGTTAGGAAAATTACCGTTAACGGTATTGCCGGCGTTTCAGTGGCCGGTCGGCACGTGAAAAGAAACACCGCGTCACCGTTTTTCTTCCAATTTAACACTAGAAATCCGTAAAACATCTGATAAAAACGGCGAAACAGTTTATTTTCACGGGGCGATCGGCCACTAGAATGCCAGTGGGACCGTTTTTTCACCGTTTTTTCTAACAGTGTAAACGACACGATTACATGCACGGCGTTGCTGATAAATGCACCGACTACGAAACTGCAATTACAACAATTATTCTATTGCACATGCCGCTGAAACGTTCTACTGAAACAAGACCGAAACCGGAGTTCAAGTGCTGACTTACCGCATTCACTTCTCAGCTCATCAACAAATCTCCGAAGAGTTGCTTTGGAAGTAAGTTCGGACGTTCGATAATCGGCACCGTGGCCGCCTACTTCGAAGTTTTCAACACTCGATTCCTCGAATCGGGATTGGTTTAAACCTTTTTGAATATTCCTAGATTCCATTTCACTGTCTCGAATTTTTCGCTTGAGTTGTTTGACTTCATTCTCTTTCCAACCAAGACTCTGCTTAAGACTCTCAACTTCGCCCTTGAGTTTATTAGTTTCGGCTATTAGTATGTTACACATCTCTCCGTCAATTGAGGTAAATGATGAAGGAGGACGGCCACTCTTGTTAATTTTCAGGAACACTTCTTTCTCGGTCTCCATTAAGAGAACTTTACTCAGCAATCGAGCTGAAAGTTTCCAAGTTAGATGATTTAGCAACACACCAATATAAAATTAGTAAAATTAAATTAAGATAAAAATAAGGACGTAGGGCAAAATTTTGAAAAATGATTGACCAGTTTAAAGAACTTGCAATAAAAATCAACGAATTTAGGTCTGCTAGAGGAAGAAATATTTTTACTGATGGATCAATCGGAGGCTAAAGTTGAACTGTCATAAACAACGTAAAAAAATTTCAGGAAAATAACATAAGGTAAACAATTGTTATGGTAAAAATATTGACTGAAAATTTTTAATACAGGGAATCGGTGTTAAAAAAATAATAGAGATTTTCAAAAAGAACTGACATAGAAGTTACTAAGCAAGTAATAGTATATTTGATACCGTACCCACTCTCGACAATGATACTCACTGCATTCGTTCTCCAGTTCATGGACCCATTTAATTAGTGTAGCCTTCGGTGTCGTGTCTTTGGGGACTTTGGGCGTCCTGGCACCGCTAACAAGCTTACGCATATCTTCGGTATTATTTTGTAGTTCATTTATTGTGTTCTTAAGCTCGTTGATCTCAGCTTCCTTGTCGGCACCACCGAGCGCATTGCTGAAGCTCTCCAAGGTCTTGATCTTCTGTGTGGAGTCCTTAAACCTCTTCTCAAGGCGCTTGACTTTGTCCTGTAGGACTTGATTCTCAACGTACACGTTCTCCTGTGGTGTCAATGGAAGCCTTTTGTTGCTCTTCTCTTGCAAGCGTCTGTTTTCTTCAGACAATTTGTCGTTCTCTGCTTGTACTTCTTCTGATTTTGACCGGAGGGAACTGCATTCTTTTTCCAGGTATTCCATTTTCTTCCTCAGATCAGCTTCTAGCTGCTCTGTCGACCTAAAAAACGAAAATTTTGTGTTAAATTGTTATACAAAAAGACCCAGAGCAAGTTTTCGATTTCTTTTTTCGATTTTATGACTACAATAATTGTAGCTTTATATTGTCCGTTTCATACAATGCGAGTAAAAACGCGAATTGAAAAATATCATAAAAAGACGGAGTTTAATTTAATGAACGGAATGCGAATGTATTTGATATGTGATATGTGATGTTGCAGCATAGCTGCAACATCACATATGGACGAATGGAACTTTTAACTTCCTGACACTGAAATTAAATGGTAAAGAATAACACGATTCAAGAAAATAATCAACAATACACATGAGATTTCTTACGCAAATAATAACAATATATATATGCTTGTGGCATGGATTAATTCGTGGGCACCAAGAGAGAGGCTGGAAAACTACCGCATTTTATTATTAAATGCCTTATTAGCGCATTTTCTCATTTATGAAGAGAAGACGCTATTGTGCTCGCCATGTCCGTCCGTCCGTCTGTCCTTTTGTCTGTCTGTCCGTTCGTGACTTAACGTTTTCGTCGACGAGAAAATACGCTCTCTGTCACTCACTGCAGTGAGTACTGAGTTATATTTTTTTAAGTTGTTATTAACAAGTAATATTCTCACCTGCTATTAGTTATTTTGGAACGTTTCTTGTTGAGGTCGAGGTCGCTCCTGAGTTGATCTCTCTCTTTTTCAGAATCAATTAGTTTTTTCCTGAGCTCAGTGAGCTCTTCTTCCAACATCTTGATCTTCTTATCGAAGAAAAGATGATCTTTAGAAGGCTCGGGGGCTTTACCTAAGCTATTAGGCTGTGAAATACGAAATAAATTTGATACAGGCGATTAAAGACGATTCATACTACAGAATTAAATTCTGTATCATTAATATTCATACAGTATTAATATATACATTGATTGATTTTTTGTATGCATTATTTAGGCAACCTATTTGATCTTTTTAGAAATAATAAAAATTAAAATCATTAATCGATAAGAAATTTTTGGGCCGAGCAAACAATTTAATCATTATATATTGTACATGCTTTAACCGCGAAAGGCTGATGTGGAGAAATCATTTAATAACTAATTCATGTAAGCTACCATTTCAACAGACAAATTTTTTCCAATTTATTTTCAACTGTTTTTATTTAGCAATGTGTAATTTAATTCTAAATTGTGTTACCATCACTAAAACAAATAAGCTACTGTTTCTTCATAAACATTTTCAGTAGATAATTGGTTGACAAATGTTCAATATAACCTGTCATGATCCACTTGCTGTAGTCCCTACAAACGATCCATTTATAGGCTGAATAGAACATTAACATTAATTAAGATTATCCATACCTTCTTGTTTTCTCTGCACGAAAGCAAGTCTTTTATCTCGCGCTGCAACCGCTCGTTCTCGCTCTCTGCGGTCTCCAGCTTACGGCGCAGCACCGATGCTTCCTGCTCGTTCAACTCCAGCTGAATCTGTACAGTAAATCTCAAATAAATTGCGGCTAGTAATCAATCCATACAGCCGCAGCTGTTGAATTTAAAGTAAATCGAATATAAAGCTCAGGTACTAATTAGTTCATCAAGCTGAACCTGAAAGTGTGAAGTAAATCTCAAATAAATCGCAGGTACAAAAGAGTTCCCACAGATTAATCTAGAAGTGTGTAGTAAATCAAAACAAAATCTCTGATAGCAATAATTTTAACAAAAAACCGTTGCGGTTAATCGACTGCTCTTGAAAAATGAAGAATTATGTGTTACATTAAATGGAGTTTCTTCGCGGATATGGAGCCACACGAATTTGCAATCATTGGAGCCCTAATAAGGAGGATTGGTACAAACTTTGCTTTGTTCACGATATGCTTGTTTGAAAATAAATTGTTTAAATATGCAAAAAATTGAATCTGTGGCATTTTATTCAGAAATATATATTATTTTAAATTATCAGGGTTTTAAGTTTTTATCTCGGCAACAGAAAATTTTTTCTGTTGCCGAGTTAAATGAAAGAAGCGAAAATATTATGAAATAATTTAGATATATATTTTTTTTAAATTGACCTAATGTTTACTTTTCCTTACAAGAAAAGAAAGGAGAAGCAAATAAAATTTGATATTACAAAATTAATTGGTTAGTAGGAGCCTGATAATACCTTCATGTCAGTCGGGTCAAGGTCTTCAACAGGTGTGATTTTCTTGTCATTTTTTTCCGCAGAATCTTGCCTGTTGAGACTTCCTCTCTCCACCGAACTTTGTCTTTCCAAGGAGCCTGCCCGCTCCAGGGACCTCTGCCTGTTCACTTTAGCTTTGGTGCTCATTTTGTTGAGTTGCAACTGCAACGTCTCGTTTTCTTCTTCAATTCGAGATAGTTTCTTTCTCATTGCTTTAGCCTGATGGCAATGAAAAGGAAGGTTGAAATACAAAAATCTAGAAGTAAATCGATAATGCCAATAATTATTGTGTTCTATAACGAACTTATTGGTTCCAAGTTCGTTTGCAAGCGTTACACAAAGGATATACGAGCACGTGAGCTGAAAACCGTCGTGAGATTACGTATATTCGAACGGAGAAGAATTTGATTTATTGTTTTCTGGCACAATGAGAAATCGAGAGCCGGTTACTCATTTCCCAAAAACGAAAACTTAGATTAAACGTTCGGAAACTCTAAATTTAAAAAATCTGCTTGAACGACAGCTTATGTAACGCCAGTCATGTGACATCATCCAAGAGACAATCTTCCGAACCGCAC